GTATCACGGCTCTGTACGTGCTGTTAGTCTGTGTTGCGTACATGTTATTTTTGACTTTCGCTTTCCGCCCACTGTTCCTTCGCTTCCTTGAGAAAACGGGCAGCCTGCAAAAAGGACCCAGCCAGTCGGTGGTCGCCCTGACATTGCTTATCGCTCTAGCTTCGGCCTTCTTCACTCAGATTATTGGTGTTCACGCCATTTTTGGAGGCTTCGTTATCGGCTTGATTTGCCCGCACGAAGGCGGCTTTGCCATCAAGCTTACCGAGAAAATCGAGGATTTGGTCGCTGTCATTTTCCTGCCACTTTATTTCACCCTGTCCGGCCTGAGTACCAACCTGGGCCTACTTGACTCTGGAATCGTCTGGGGTTATGTGATTGGTGTAATTGCCATCGCATTCATTGCGAAAGTCGCCGGAGGTGCTGTTGCATCGCGGCTCTGTGGTCTTTTATGGCGTGAAAGCTTTTCGATTGGTGTGTTGATGAGTTGCAAGGGTTTGGTCGAATTAATTGTGCTGGTGAGTACTAATCCTTTACGAAGTTCCACGATTGAGAATGTAGCCTAATTCATTCACCACAGAACATTGGCCTCCAAGCCAAGATTTTGAGCACTCGCACATTTACAATTTTCGTCGTGATGGCCTTGGTCACCACATTCATGACCACTCCGTTAACTACCTTGCTGTATCCCACATGGTATCAGGTCAAGGTCGAGCGATGGAGACGCGGGGAAATTGACTGGGAAGGCAACCCTGTCCAACGCGATGACCGCAATGACAGCGTCGCTGTTGCCAAGGATCAGTTGAAGACCGTCCCAGTACGAAAGCTCCTCGTCTACCTTCGTCTGGACGGTCTTTCGGGAGTCTGTACTGTAGCAGCCCTCCTCAGCTCAAAGCGACGTGCATCCGTGTCATCCCGCATTCACCCCGCAAAGATGCCAAAGCAGACCGAGGAAACTGTTGAAGATCCTATTACCTCAGAAGAGGACGAAGACGCCACCACACTTAAGGTCCACGGTGTTAGGCTAATGGAATTGACCGATCGTGATTCCAGTGTCATGAAGGTTGCTGCTGCGGGCGAACATGCGCTGTGGGATCCGGTGGTGAACACGTTCCGCGCGTTCGGAGACTGGCATGATCTCTCCCTCATGGCTGGTGTGTCTGTCGTCCCCGAGCACTCTTACGCAGATACTGTCATCGGCATGGCGCAGCAGGACACCGCAGATATGCTCCTTCTTCCCTGGAGCGAGACCGGAACGCTTACCGACCACCATAACGGGCTTGAGATCGACGACGCAAATCGTTTCTCTAATGGCGCGTACACAAGCTTTATTACTGATATCCTAGAGCGGGTCCCAGGCCATGTCGGCATCTTAATCGAATACAGCCCAGTCTCAACCTCATCTAAGAGACCCGTGATTTCCCGCACCGCCAGCGGCATGAGCCTCCAGGGTTCAATCTTCGCCCGCCAGCCAACCGGCAGCCGCTCCCACCATATTGTCCTCCCATTCTTTGGCGGTGATGACGACCGCTTCGCTCTTCGGATGGTCATGCAGCTCGCTCAGAATGACCAGGTCACTGCGACTGTTATTCAAATTGGCGGACTGGGCAGTGATGGCACCAAACCAGGGGTGTCCAATGCAGCATCTGGCTCGGGTTCAAGTGCGCTCCCCGCGTCCAGCTCTCAATCCGACACGGTTTTCTTCGAGACACTCCGTGATTCAGTGCCAGAGGAAATTCAAGAGCGCATTGTCTTCCATCAACCAGTTGTCAACGAGACCATCACCGACCCAGTCCAGATGGCTATCGTTTCTGTGCGTGAAGAACTTAATCACGCATCCAACAAGGCGAACAACATTGTCATCGTTGGTCGTCGTAGTATCTCTTCTGAGATCGAGCTGGGTCTTTCGGAGGACGGTATTGGTCATGACACCCGCCGGGCTCTAGGGTCTGTCGGTACTGCGATGGTACAGCCCGAGAGTAAAATTTACGGTAGTGTGTTGGTGCTGCAGGCTGGTACCGACACCGGGTTGGCTAATTACTATCGCTGAATATATTTGAGATATCGCTGCAAGTATGAATATTTTTCTTGTGTATTTGGAAGAGATATAATTCGCTCATATGGACTTTTTGGAACATGCTATATCACTTTTTAAAGATGTAGAGATTATCAACATCTATGTGGCCAAGTCAAACACCAGGGTATCAAAACCAAACCAGGCCAAAACCAACAGTCAAAACGCCACAGATCAAGACAGGCTATCATGGATTCTGCAGAACACCAGATGAATTAGATGTGGGATGACCGGAGCTCCTCCCTTCCCAAAACCACGGCAGACTGAACTGGCGATGATCCCGCATTGACGACTCCCAATTCGGAGTCCGTTCCCTATCCGACGGAAACGAGCCAGTCTCGTTGATCTCCCGCATACTCGAGTGCATTTCCTGACTGTCCGTGCCGCCGCGCGCAACCGCGATCAATTTGCCAAGGATAGCATATTCAAGCTTCAGCTTGATACTGTAAGCGACAGGCTTGAACAAGACCTGCACAGCATAGTAACCGACATATTCGATGGCGACGACCGAGATATCCAGCACAAGAATGAGAATATTGATAACCAGCAATTGGTTAAGAATTCCCTGTGGGCGACCTTCGGGGCGGAGACGAAGCAACTTAACCGTTTCCCAGACATAGACGCTGGAGATGATCAATTCCTGGATACAGAAACCGACCAGCTGAATGCGCTCCATGATATCGTACGCGCGGGCCCAGCGACTCGTCGGATAAGCAACAGTCCCGTACAAGAGAACCGTAGTCGGGATATGGAAGATCATAGCATCGACACAGATCATCCACAGCACACCGCGCAGCAGCTTCCGGTTCTGCAGCACCAGATGCAGCCGCGACCACAGCACGACCGACTGGCCGGTGATCACGCCGTACCACCCCAGGACGACGAGGGTCACGCATAGCCAGGGAGTGACACCAGTCGGGAAGAAAAGAAGGACGAACCCGAGGCAGTACGGGATGATGCAGCCGGAGGCAATGAGCAGACTCCAGAAGTATGTGCCGTTCCAGCGTCTGAAGGAGAAAAAGCAGAGGATGATGAGCTCGATGGCGTTGTACCAGGCTAGCGAGGCTAATGCGGCGAAGATGCCTGTGCGAGCTACGTCGGATGGGCCGTAGCCGTGGAGGAGGGAGTCTGCAACGTCGCTGCTGCCGTTATCGGTGGCCATTGGCGGTGGAGGGACATTGCTAGTTGTTCACTGCGATACGGAGTATATGGATGTGGGTAGGAATATAGGGGGAATTGATGTCGGGAAGAGTTGGGGAAGGATCAAAGGAATAAACTATCGAGCTGAATAAAGTTCATTCAAGGTGCGCACCAGCGCAGTGGCGGGAAAGAGCTTTGAGGCTAGAGGGGGCGAATGAAGGGAATCGACTGGAAAACCGTATGGGCGCACCTGGTTCCATGACAGCTCCTCGGGTTTGTGGGGAAATTGGCGAAAGCAGACTGGACGAGACAGACATGGGGAAGTTTCCGAGCCATGGATCCAAGTCCGGGGGAGATTTAGAATTTGTCGTAACCTACAGAGTACTCCGTAGATATCAAGAAGGGATGAATTCCCGTTACTATTCCCCCGATCATCGCATTATTGAATTGTGGCTTGACTTCTGTTCTCGGTTGTCGATCCCCCTTGCTCTGAATCTTGGGTGCTTGAGAAACATACTGTCCCAGAGAGAGCACGGGTACTTGATAAGGTGGGTGTCCACGAAGGAAGACATGGAGTATAACCCCTTCGGATGAGAAGCGTGAAATATAAGCATTCGGTGTTGCATTGCAGGTCTCTTCAGTGAAAATAAATGATGTCAGAACACGAGGTTGTTTGCATCTGGTGCGTGATTGGTCAAGGTGAACACGGGATCTGCCATACTATGTAGGCCGAGCTTGGCCATTGCCAAGATACGAGGGAGTGACTGAAAGAACTGCCATCACTAGCATAACAGGGGTAGCTGGGATAACTGGCATGGCGGAGCAAGAAATGCATCAAAGGAGGTCCAGACCACCCGCTGACAGGGACGGATCGCAACCAGATCGGACTGTGACGTCACCCGATCTGATCTGAAATCGATCTCGATCTCTAGATCGAATGACGTTGGATTCCTTTTAATAACCCATTTTCCTATTATCCTCAGTAATGAAGAACCTGTTTCTCTGCTGCTATCGATCAATCCCGCACCTATTTCCTCCCAGCCAATTGTGAGCCCAGCTCGTACGCAACTTATCAACTATGCCACCGAAGAGAAAGGCGACCGAACCGGCAGCTGGACAGCCCAGTGTTCGCACGCCAGTAAAAAGGGCTGTCCCGACTTGCACCAACAGCACCTAAATGCGGAGCAAACCGAGGATTTCGGCATAGTCCTACACCAATTCTATCCGCCGGAGATGAGCAACGACCGTTGCCAAGCATATACCGATGGCGAGCTGGAACGCCCAATTGAAACACTACAGAAAGCTTTCAGGGAGACTGCCCACAAGCGACAGTCGATCAACGTAGGCAGTGCTGTGGTACATTGGTTCAAGGGCGATCTCTGGCTTCATGACGGTAGGGCGCTGTACGCGGCCTACCAATTTGCGAAAGAGCACCAGGTCCCGTTAATTGGTCTTTACATCGTCTCTCCCGAAGACTAGACTGCCCATTTGACCAGCCCCGCTCGAGTGGGCTTCACTCTGCACACCATCAAGCGATTGAAAAAAGACCTAGGGGAGTTGGATATCCCCCTGCACATGGAAACACAGGAGAAACGAAAGGCGATCCCGAAACGGATTGTGGAGTTGTGTTAAAAATGGGGGGCGAAGAGCCTATATGCAAATATCGAGTATGAGATAGACGAGCTGCGGCGCGAAGCTAAGCTTGTTAGACTCTGCGCGGATAGCGATATCAATTTCAGGCCTACTCATGATACCTGCGTGGTGACCCCAGGTGCGCTGGATGGTCAGCAAGGGAAACGATATTCCATTCATACTCCATGGTATCGCTCTTGGTTCGCCTTTCTAAAGGAGAATTCGGATTACTTCGAGGTCTCTGAGGAACCCTGGCCAAACCCAGGAAATGCGAGATAATAGTTCAAGGACTTGTTCGATTACAAGGGGCCAGCCGTACCTAAAACCCACATCTTGTCGACGAAGATTAGAAACGCTTCGAGGGGCTTTACCAAGCCGGTGAGCACGAAGCCGAAAGCACTTCGGTGTTGAGTCCTTACTTTGAATGCGGAGCGCTCAGCGTAAGGACTGCTGTCGTGACAGCGAAGAAGATCAACAAAGGCTACATCGATCGATATGACCCCTGTTACATGACCTAGATCAGGGACGTGGCCTGGCGTGACTTTTACAAGCATGTCCTAGTAAACTGGCCCTTCATCTGGTAAGTCTTTCATCTTCCAGGGCAACGAGTTTCCCATTTTAATGCAAATTCTTTCCGTAGTATGAACAAATGCTTCAAGCCTGAACATACCAATATTCGATGGGAGTACGACAAGGACCAATTCCAAGCGTGGTGCGATGGCAAGACTGGCGTCGACGCACAATGCGCCAGCTCTGTCACTGCGCGTGGCTGCACAACCGCATGTGCATGGTTGTCTCATGGTTCTTTACCAAGGACCTGATGCGCGATTGGCGCCATGGCGAGCGCTACTTCATGGAGAATCTGATTGACGGTGATTTCGCGTCCAATCACGGCGGGTGGGGATTTGGGTCTAGTACTGGCGTGGATCCGCAGCCGTATTCGCGCATCTTCAATCCTCTTCGCCAGAGTGAGCGATTCGACCCAGAGGGAAAGTATATTCGCTACTGACTGCCGGAACTTCGCGAGGTGTCCGGCGAAGCTATCTATGGACCTTATGCCGGGGGGCCGCGGCCATTGCGCAGAAGAATGGCTACCCCAGGCCCATTGTGGACCACGCAGAGAGTCGAGATCGAGCGTTGGAGCGGTTCAAGAAGGCAGTGCAGTGAATGTTGGACATGTAAATGATAATTAGTCGCTTTATGATCATTGATCACATGAGACATCCACGTGTACCCCGTACAAATTAAAAATTGGAGAAATTCCACGCCAAGTCCAAATTGCGGGTGAGACATTCGTGCCCTTTCCCCGCAACATCCTTCATTTCTCTTCAGCTTCTTTTTTCTTTACACTTGACCTCACCGATGATGTCCCAAAATGGAGTTCCAGGGTGATCCGCCATCTCCTGCCCCCGACTCGGTCGAGGTTGAGCTAGCAAATGGCAAGCGACGATGGCGCCGAAACAGAGTCGCCTGCGACTCTTGCCACACTCGCCGTGTACGATGCGACCGTGCTTTTCCTTGCTCGAGATGTCTGCGCGGTGACATAAACTGCCAATTTACCCGCGAGCGCCGGAAACGAGGACGTATCGCGAGACCGAAACTGAAAAATGGAGATGCGAATGCCGGGGACGAGACAGCTCAGGACCCCCCCGAGGGGAAGCAGGCCGATGGGGAACACAACAGGGAGTCGCAGTCGCAGCAGGTGTTGTCGCCGATTGACCATAATTCTCCTGCATCTACCTTCCAGCAACCATCGCCGGCAACAAACGAGATTAGCGCCGTGTCGGCGCCTAGTGTCGACGACCCTCGGTCTGTGCCAGATCCTCCACAGGCGCAGCGGGCAGGCCCTGCTGCAAATGTCACGGAGGAATGGCTTTCAGCGGCACATCTGTCGCCAGACTCATATGATCTGCTCGCGGGCACTGGCGGTAGCGACGCCCCTCTGCCCCGGTTGATGGACATTTGGAATCCGGTTGATTTTGCTGGCCACCGGCCAGTTCAGCGTGCCCCTCCTATACCGTCTGTCTCAGGGGCGAACCTTCCGAGACAAAGACAGCTATCGACATCCCGGTCGCCATTGAAGTACCCTGTGTTGGAACCTCTCATGCCATTTCTCGAATCGAACCTCCCACGTCGGCTGGTGTGCGATTTGCTTGAACTCTACTTTACCAGTGCTTTTTCAACCCATATGCATCCTGTGTGCCATCATATTCATTGCTATGTCCTGCGAAAGACTTCCTTTCTAAGTGTCGACCGCCCCAGGCCCACTAGTCCTGCATTGTTGGCAAGTATGCTCTGGGTGGCTGCTGTGGATGACCGGGCCTTCTCTTTATCCATCTCACCATTACAACGGAGAAAGATATGCCAATTTCTCTGTGCGTTGATTATTCGTTTACTGCGACCTTTGATACATGTCTCGTTCAAAGACCAAGATCCGTCAGCCACCGAAAATGCGACCGCCAACGACTTTTCAGCCGGAGCTCACCACCCATTCGAAGGCGCCGGTGATGATAAAGGGCTAGTGGGCCCTGCTGGGTCTTTAGACGATGTCATCACCTATATCCATGTGGCCTCGATTATCTCATCTAGTGAGCAGAAGGCTGCAAGTATGAGATGGTTCGTTGTACCCCTGTTCCTATCCCCTGTCCAATCCACTAACTTAACCCTAGGTGGCATGCGGCCTTTACACTAGCCCGAGAACTTAAATTGAACCAAGAGATGGAAATAACACCCAACATCGACAGCATGAGCGATGGCTCAAGCCCGTCCTTCGGTTACGGTCTAGGGGGATGGCCTGGTTCCCCAGGTGGGCTGGGGTTCGACTATTCGAATCCCTCGCGCCCTAGTCTGAATTGCGTATGTGACAGGAACCATGATTTGCACAATGGTTCTATTACAGAAGAACACCGGGAAGAGCGGCGCAGGACCTGGTGGCTGCTATATATCATGGACCGCCATCTCGCACTATGCTATAATCGTCCGCTGGCCCTACTTGATGCCGAGAGCGAGGATCTGTTGCTTCCACTGGATGAAAGCTCCTGGCAAGCAGGAATCATTCACAGCAATAGTCCTCGTCCGGATGGCCCTCAGTGCCCCCGGTCGGGCGACCAAAACAAACGTCGGATTTTCCCCAACTTCATTTGCCATGACCACTCTATTCTTGGTTTTTTCCTCCCACTTATGACGATTACTGGCGAATTGATCGATCTAAACCAAGCGCGAAACCACCCTACTCTCGGTGTCAGGCTTCGGGGGAAAGAAGCGTGGGAGGTCCACGTGTCGGAAGTGCTGCGCCAGCTTGAGATCTACAAAGCTAGTCTCACAACCTTTGCTGCGGCGACGGCAGCTGACCCGGCGGCCTCATCCACCACTGCTTACACCCACAAACCAGACCCTGTCGATCCACAATTGTCCCAGGCCTATTCTTGGCATACGCAAACCGTGATTGCCTATTCCTCGTACCTGACCCACGTCCTCCACATCCTGCTTGTCGGAAAGTGGGACCCTGTCTCACTGATCGAAGACAAAGATTTCTGGACATCTTCCCCGGCCTTTGCGTCGACCATATCGCACGCACTGGAAGCCGCTGATTCCGTGCAACAAATCTTGCGCTTCGACCCCGACGTTAGTTTCATGCCTTACTTTTTCGGCATCCAGCTGCTACAAGGCAGTTTCCTCCTGCTGCTTATCGTGGAGCGCCTACAAAAGGAAGCAGGCGAGGGCATACTCAACGCCTGCGAGACCATGATTCGTGCGACAGAATCGTGCGTGGTCACTCTCAACACGGAGTACCAGCGCAGCTTCCGGCAAGTGATGCGCTCTGCAGTCGCGCAGGCTCGGGGTCGCCCGGTTAATCCGAGTGAGATTCGGCACCGCCGAAAAGCGGTTCTCGCACTTTATCGCTGGACGCGAAAGGGGACTGGCTTAGCCTTGTAAATACCCCACACACAGGTCCGACTATGATTTATCTGTTCCTGTCGATCGCTGCGCCCTACGGGGCCAGCCACGCGTCTTCCTGCGGGTGCGTGCCCGAGGGGAACGGTGGGAACCCCTTTCCCCACGATCGATCTTCACAGTCTTGGGGTTGACTGGATACTACTTTATTACGATTGCTTCCTGTATAGTTCTGGAGCGGCGTTTTGTCTTTCTGCATATATGGTGTTTGACTTTGCGAAAACTTCTTTTCTATGTAACATTGAAGACGGATAATTCTGCAAGTATATAATTTACTCCTGAGGGCATCTCGGTCCATTCTTCCATTGTGGCGTCGACAGTATTTTCCTCACCACTCTATATCAAGCCCGGATGCCAATATAATAAGTATGAAACAATGCCAATGCCATTCCCCGTTCTCTTTTAGGTTCTTCATGTCTCGAGCTTATTGAATTTACCCGCTCAATGGCGGGGGTTCTCGATTAAATTTCCGATGCCGAGCTAGCAGAATTCACCGATTGGACAACGGGCTGCTCCGAACCTTGGAATGCACGGCCTTGACTTCAAAATCCGGGGAAGTCGGTTAATTGAAGGATTTTATGGGATCATGCGGTCTCCAGGGATATTTGCCGTTGGAGCTTTGGGACCCCAGGTTCTCCGCAACTCCACAGCTCCTCAGTCCGTGGTATGACCTTGAATTCGATTTTTTTTATTTAAATAAGTGCAGCATGGCCCCGGTTTTGCGGGGAATTATTCTTTGCTTTTTCCTTGTCCTGGTAGCAAGGTCCCATGGAGATACGGACTACTTCGAGCTTCAACTTCAGCCAGAGCTTTACTCCTTCACTTTTGTCTTGCCTCCTATACTTGCGCCCTCATCATTTGAGCCTGTGACAGATACAGCATTCACCATGACCGAAGCTCAGCTCCCATACGAGATTACCTCCTGGCCCACGGAGAGTCTCGTTGATTCGCATATGGCACAATACGATGAGCTCTGCCAGCACCCTTTCATCGCTAGCGACTTTCCCCTGGGAATACAGGAGGGACTAGATCCCTCATGGGCTGCCGAGCAGCTCAGCTGGGTGAATGAATACCCGGTTAAATCGACCACATTCCAACCATATCCGCAAATGTGGTATGATGCCGGCCTGGTCAGAGAGGGCTGCGGAGGGACGAAAACCGATATTAGAAGGTAAATTGCTTCACTACCCGCGCCTTTTGCTCAGAAACCCCCAAAGCGCAGAGACAAGGGAAAAAAAAAGCACATCTCGAAGTTGGTAACTAACACGTGCATGGAACTAGTTTCTCGCTCCACCAATCCACCCAATCAACTCCCTTCCAAACTTCCGAGAATCCCCCGAATCCCGATTTCGAGCTCGCAACACAAAGAGCCCTCTTCATGACTCCCTCCCCAAAAGCCCTCGCCTTCCCCTTCCCCGGATCTCCAACCTCAGATCCTAACTCCTCTCCGGAACCAAGCCATGCGTCATCAAGCGGGTGGGAATGCGAAGCCGAGCGTGAAGATGCCCAATACATGCAATTCGATTTCGGGCCGTCCGATTTCGGGGCCTCGGCATTAGACACTCAATATCAGGCTCAGGGTCAGACCCACAGTCTCAGCTCCCCGCCCAGCTCCCGAATCGACGAAGAGTGTCTCACACCACTCGAGATGCCAGATGGCAGTACCCGCATGACATCAAATTGGCTTCCCGTAGACCCTGATGCTGGCTTTGCGATTGGCTCTTCCATCATGATGGATGAGGATGTTGCTGCGTTTCAGGACATGAAGCATGCGTTCTTTCCGTCGGTCCCTGCGGCTTGGTCGTATGATTGATGAGAGCAGGTGATGCATCATTGTTTCGCTGCTTGCGACAAATTGTTGAACTTTTACCCGGCTTCCCCTCTACTCCTTTAGTGCCAGTTGCGCTACACCAGGACCCGTCATTGTGCGATGCCGCCGTCGTGGGCGTGCTCAGCGCTATCGAGTGGTCATTATTGCCGCCGCGACCGCCCACCTTTGCTCGCCTCCGGGAATTCTAGCTCGAATTTCTCGTGTCAGAGAGTGGGTACGAGTGCGCAAATTACTTGGGCCGAATATGATTCCAAAAATCATTATTTGAGATGAAGAGCATCACTGGCGAGCATGGAATCACGTCAAGAGCGGAGACCACACACACACACACACACACATGGCCCCAATTTCTACGCCGTGGACCGGACAAGAAATGATGGCATATCTTAACATTCAGGTTCAGGCACATGTTGCCTAACGGAAGTCGTTCAGGGACATGTAGAATACAGCAATACAAACTTGTTGAAACTTTGTTATGATTCATAGAAATGAAAAAAGAACATAATTTGATCGCTATATTGCTGTTATAGCCGCAAAGGGGTCTTTCTGAGCTTTCAACGTCGTTAGTCCTGAGAATAAACGTTTGGTGTCGTGCCTCCCACATTAATACGCAAAATATATCAATTGGCCAAACTCCATCCAAGGCTCAACGAGCCATATTTATATCTGACTCCAATCCAACCAAACAGTAATCGCCTCCAGCTCCTCCCGATGTTCCATGTAATAAGCCTGACCTAACATGTGGAGCTTCCGGCGGTCCGTCTTCTTGGACTTAGTGCGCGGGACTCTATCAATAAGGATATACAGCGCAGGAACATAGTACTTCGGCAAGCTCTGACGAACCGCCTCGCTCAGCGACTGGGTGAGCGCATGAACAGCGTGTCTCTCACTGATCGGGCGGAACTCCATCTCTTCCACCGGACCACTTTCCATATTCATGGGGTTATTCGCCAGGTATAAGTATACGGCAAGAATGGGATCGGCCTGGCCATCAATAGCGCCTAGCACGTCCACGACGGCCGCATCGCCCGTAGACAGATTGCGGCGGAGAACGTACTCCACTTGGCCAGCTTCAACGCGCGCCCCGTCGAGCTTGAGCATGCTATCCTTGCGGCCCATCAGCTCGATCGTCCCATCGTGGTTGTACCGGCCTAGATCTCCGGAGCGATAGAGACGGTGACTTGCCCTGTCGGTGTGCAGCTCAGCCATCCAGACTGGCGGCGCGGAGAGGAAATTCTCCGATTTTCCAGAGACGTGGTCTAGGTATCCCTTGGAGAGATGGGGGCCCTCTATGAGGAGTTCGCCTACGGCTCCGACGGGCATCAGTTGATCAGGGTTATCGGGATTCACGATCCAGATTGCACCTGTAGCGGGACGACCGACCACTGACCCGCGGCCCATCTGGAGATTGCGGTTATATGCGCAGAGGGAGGCTATCTCGCCCATGCCGTATTGATTAACCACCTGCACGCGATCCAGCCATTTTGCCAGTACAGCGTCTGAGACTGGCTCGCCGCCAATACACATCATCTCCAGGGTGGGGACGCGGTCTGGTTCCATGTCGACGGCGACTGACGGCGTTATGAACATGATGTTAGCCTCCAGATCGTTCATGTCATTCATTAGCGAGTCCATCGTCAGAGATCTAGTCGGAACACAGCAGCACCCGCCAGCAATGAGAGGCGCCAGGAAGTCGTTGTTGCTGATATCGAATGTGTACGTATCGAATTGGAACATCCGGCTATGTGGTCCAATGCCCATGACTCGGATGTAATCCGTCAATGCGGAGGCATAGCTACGGTGCTCCTGGATAATTCCTTTTGGCTTTCCCGTGCTGCCGGATGTAAAGAGCACAACACAAGGGTCGGTGGGCGTGACGGTCGAACAAGGGACCGAAGTCACCAATGGTAAACTGGAAACGGAAGCATTGCTGACCTCGAACAGAGTTTCAACCCGATCGGCAAATCTTTCCTTGTACCCGGCTGAGGTGAGCATGATCTTTATCTGGGTGCGTTCGAGGACAGATGTAAGATACGGTGGTGGATCACTGCCATCGACGCAGATGTACGCCCCACCAGCCATGAGGACAGCCAGTCGGGCTACAACAGCCCAGGTGGATTTGTAGAAGGCACAAGCCACGTATATCTTTGGCCCCACGCCTTGTCCCACTAGCCAATGTGCTAACCGAGAAGTCAATTGCTCGAGTTGTCGATATGTCAGATCCCCATCCCAAGAGCGAACGGCGGGGGCATCGGGGGTTGTCTTTGCGTGCTGTAAACAAAGCTCATGTAGCAGGGCATCATGGGCTGGGCCAATGCTTCCAGTGAATTGGGCAATCAGGACAATGTCTTGCGGCGAGCATAACTCGAGGCTGCCGATCGTCTGTATGGATGAGCCATCGATTGATGAGAGGGCCTGGCTGAAACTGTTCAAGAGGCTTGTAGCCAATGGCAGTCCGATGCGAGTGCTTCCAACATCTAGTCGGGCATGCAACCTATCGCCGGAGGTATGGCGTATTGAAAGGCGGAGACCGGTCGACATCGAATCTACCTCCGTCGGCTCTCTCACCGGTATGCCACAGCATGCCTTGCATCCGCCGACGCATGCGTCCTGACTAGACAGGATGCCCTTCGCCGCTTGCCTCTGGTACATGATTGTCACATTGAAGCCACCACGCTCGCTGGCCTGGCCGGTGTGGACATTCTCCGTAATTCCTGTCTGAGATAATGTGCCTAATGCTTCAATGCACTCGGTCAACAGACCTCTCACGGTGTCATGAGGATCCACGTGGATCTGGACGGTCGGCTTGGGGTAACCATCAGCTGCCTCGCCTATGTAGCATTGACCATTTGGATAGTCTTGGCCAATGTATAGGGTTGTCGAGCAGGAAAATGCTCTAATTGTGGTAACCCAGGCCAATTGGAGTAGCCGCTGGATATGAATATCCGGATGTTCTTCCTGGGCGGGTGCAGATGGATTGAGGGTGTCGGCGAGGTGCAGTAGTCGCCAAGGACGTGCCTTCAGGGCAAGGTCAACTCCATTGGTGGAAGTGCCATTGACTGCGACCTTCAATGGAGCAGTATTGGGCTCGGGAACAACAATTGTGGGTTCTAACAGGACAGGAGCCATGATGAAGATGAACTGTAACAAGTGCGGAGAAACAGACTATCAGGATTAGGGACTTTCCTGGCATAAATGTACGGCAGCTTGCCCAAGGAAGAGGCATGCAGGAACGGTCTCATTATTAACTTCCCTCTGGGCAATTTCTTTGTTGAAGCGGGCAATCAATAAGACCTCGTTATTGACTCCACGGACATCTCTTGAGCAAATCATAGCCATCGGAAGATTTGGACCTTGTAAGATGTACACTCTGTGTAGCATCATCACTTCGTGCTCATGAGGTGCTTGCTCTGATGTGAGAGGTCTTGGTATCTGTAAATGGGCTGAGCATCCAAGCTAGCAGAGTGGGCAATTAGAGCCGGGGGCTTTTGTGGCCATCTGCGAATAAAAATCCCACATGAGATAGATGTCGGAAAAAGAGAGGCTCATAAAATGTACTTTGGCCAATCCAAGTTTGAAGATCAGCACTGATCCATGTCCTTTTTGGCTAAATAGTCAGCCTGGAGTAGTACTAGGACGAGCAGTCAGCTGCAGATGGAGTCAATGTACTCCGTACTCCGTAAGATATCAGGTGAGAATGAATCTAGCAAATCAAGACTTGTCTTATGGATTATGTTCATTTAATTCGCCAACTAAAATTACAAAGAAATCCCAAGTCCCCAGCTAGATCACACATTCTGCATAATTCCAGGATGAACACCCTCAAGGATCGACGACAGCTCAGCCCATAGCTTTTCCCGCGCTTGGCGTCCTTCGTCACTACGCACAAAAGGTGAAAGTGCAGTGCTCTCCACATGTCCATCGGTCATATATGCACCGTGGCTTTCGAGTCCAGCCGTAGCGCCCGCCACGAGTGTTCGAGATCCAACCTCAGTGGATCGCGCCAATAGAATTTTCATCATTGACACGTACCAACCAGCCTCTCGTGTCAATTGTGAGTGGCAGAACCCAGGGTTGAGCATGTTGATGACCACCTGTGACCCAGGCACCCGGCCCGCTAGTTCCTGCACAAGCAGTACCTGGAGCAGCTTCGAGAATGGGTACCGCTCGTGCATTTTGGCATTCGTTTGGTCGCTAACGAACTTCATTGGCCGGTCTTCCCTCCATTCTGTGAAATTTACCCATCCATGTACCTCGCTTACAACGAAGGTAAGTCGGGACGTGCGCGATGGGTTCTTTTGTCGTGTGGCTCTGAGGGTTGGCATGATGAGGAGACCGAGGAATAGAGTGTTGATGACATTGACGGTGACAGTTTGCTCATAGCCCTCGGCAGTGCTAAACTTCTCTGTGGCAATTGCTGCATTGAGTATGGCTACGTCGAGCCTGGGGAGCTGTGAGACACGCTTGCCAAACGCAAGGACCGAGGCGTGGGAGGCCAGATCGACCTCCCACACCTCACAGACGCCTGGGCGGCCTGTGGACTTTTCAATGTCATCTTTTGCTACTTTTCCTGCAGCCACGTTTCGAACGGCAAGGATCACTCGTGCTGCACCAAGTCGCGTGATGTGACGTGCAGCTTCCAGCCCTAAGCCGACATTGGCGCCGGTGACGAGCACCGTCTGGTCGGCAAAAGACTCTGTTGGATATTTGGGAGTGACGAGAAATTGTGAGTAAAAGAAACCCATGATGGATATTTGAATTGATGATCAAAGGAAACCCAGAAGGCAAAAGAAATGTTCTTAAGGAGAGAAAGAATGAGAACGTCATCCTGGCGACTCGGATATTAACGGGGTTAAGCAAGTCCGCGATATATCTTCACTGAACCCACCAGATCGGCATTAGGAATTCTTATCACCGAATATAGAAGGCAAAATTCTTACAGGCTAGGGTAGAAGACTAGAATTCATCATGAAAAAAGGTGTATTTAGCTAGACAGCTTGGGTATGTAGGCGCAGACGCTAATAGCTATATTGGACGTGAGGCGATCACGACATTAGAGGGGGAATTGGGTTATGTCCACTTTTCTTGCGCAACATGACTCGAAAGATTTCTCTGAGCAGGTTCGCCTTCAGAAAACAGAGGCAACATATAGACGACCGCAATCCAACAGTTCCAAACTCGAAATGTCTGCTTATCACCTTGAACAGAACGAACCACCAGCGTCCTGAAAGCCACCAGCGAAGCCAACGCCATGCTCATGGTAAACCAAAAAGATGACGCAGCCCAGAACATCGGACACCATATTCCCCAACAGAGCATGGGTATTGCGATAGTCCACCGAGCCGCAGTATCACCCCATACCAGAGGCACCGTTCGCCGACCGCGTTTAGCATCGCCGCCTTGATCGGGCATATCCTGCAATTGGACCGTGGAGAAAATAATACAAATGATGACAAGCAGCCACTGTCCCGACCGTCCAAGCGGGTGAAGAGGCAGCAAAGAGCCTCCTAGTGCCACTTCCATTGCCCCCGATGCGAAACAGGTATATCCTAGTCCGTTGATAATATTCCGAATGACCGGGTTCTTGTCCGCGCCACCCCAGTTATTGTACCACACCCCCAACCATATCAAAGCCACAGAATGTCGGACTCCGCCTGCTAACGCAAGGCTATATATCGGCGCAAATATATATAAAATTATCATGACTCGCGTTCCCCACTCGTGAGACATTCGGCCCCGAGGGAAGGGACGCCATGGCTTGTTCAAACCGTCCTCGGCAGTGGCTCTTTGACCCCGTTGGTTGTTGATGGCAAACGGAATTAAGTTAATCAGAAGCCATGATAGTACTGCGACAGCTCTTCTAATCGACTTCGGAGAATCGCTGATGGTGTGCGGAGGAGAGAGACCCCCTGTAAGTTCTAGGTCGTATTTTGACGCGGCCCAGGCGTTTGTGATTCCGAAAATGGTACTTGGTACCACAATGGTTTTGAAATCGCTGAAGACGAACAGCCAGAGTGTATATGAGTGGTACCACAGACGTGTCAATGCCCTTTGGACTATTAAGACACATCGGCTCATGACTGATGAGTATGGGTCCTAGCAAGGTGGATGGTATATGATATACCTCCGGCGTTAGTCTTACTTTTTATATCGGACACGGTGGAGTTTAAGCCTTCGGGAGGAACTTTGAGAATCGACGAAACACGGTCAAATAAGAGAGGAAATAACAAACCAAAGGTGTTGGTAGACTTCTGAATGTCTTGGACAAGGCGTTAACTACGCTAAATAGCTGGGCAGTTTTGGGGTAGACTATTGACGCATTATGTTACCTAGATATCCAAAACGGCTGAGTCTAGGTCATATATCCTCCGATGGCCGAGAATGACGAGTGTTGTCCAACATTGTCTTTTGGCCTTTCTTTCACTGTGACCTTTATGATACAAAGAGCCCTGCCCGGAGTCACTATTGGACTCGTCCCACTTACAGGCTCAAAATAGCCATTGCTACAGCCGCAACATACTCTCATTGATCATATAATGCTAGCTCCAGCGGCAGTTGCAATTACTGCGGGGCTACTGGCCCACCAACTTGTCTTTATCCACGGAGAATGGCATCTGAAGGCCCCTACGGTCGTGGTTGTTCACCTTCTTTCCGGCAGTCTATTATATGCGAACCATTTGTTTGGTCATGAAAGCGATCGAGCCAGCTTATCTCAGACAATATACTTAGCGACATGCTATCTGTCGGCACTGTTCACAAGCATTGCAGTGTACCGACTCATATTTCATCGATTGAAACACTTCCCCGGCCCAAGATTAGCGGCAGTAAGCAAATTATGGCATGTTTGGGAATGCCGTGACTCGCGTGGGCATCTCATCTTGCAGGCCTGGCACGAGAAATATGGGGAGTTTGTACGAACTGGTAAGATGCATCACAACCCAAGTAGGACTCCCAGATACGATTGAGATTGAATCGTTAGGTCCGGCCGAAATTACCATATTCCACCCCGAGGCCTACGAGGCCATGGATGGTCCTGACAATCGCAACACGCGCTCTGATTGGTACGACCTTCTATATCCTCGGATATCCTCAATCTTCACTCGCGACCGAGAGCTGCATCACGAACGGCGGAAAATGTGGGAGCAAGCGCTGAGCAGAAAAGGTCTGAACTCACTGGCCCATAATAAGCCCGAGGCTGACACGGTCGACACGGTCGTTCAGCATTGCTTCAGTATCATCGGCGGGTGGTGGAAAAGGTACGAACACTCACAAGCCTAGTTGCTTTGGAACAATCACGCCCTGTTCTCATTAATGACCTCATGTATTTCTTCGCTTTTGACTCGATGGGTGATTTTGCCTTCAGCGAAGATTTCGGCATGATGAAGAACAAGAGGTGGCATTCGTCGATAGCCATGCTGCGCTCGGCGCTCACGTTGCTGGGCCCCTTCAGTCCTGCGATATGGATCCCCAGACTCGGGTTTGCATTTATTCCTTCGCTGTGGAAGGTCCGGCATTGGTTTCATATGCTCGAGTTTTGTGATCAATGCATGGCTCGACGGATGGAGGTACTAGAAACCATATGGGCAGTCGAACATTCGACTAACATGGAGCTAGAAAACACCCTCCGATCGCGATATTGCATCTTGGTTTATTGAAGACCATGTCAGACACGGATCAGATCCCACGCGGGCGCGGTGGTTGAGCGGCGACACTGCGACGTTAGTTGTAGCTGGAAGGTCAGTATAGCTGGATGTCATGAGGCAATGGACTGATAGTTGTAGCGACACCACTGCTCCAAGCTTAACTCTTCTTTTCTATTTTCTCGCTCGCTATCCCATGCATATTGAGAAGATATATGAAGAGATCCGCGAGGTCGACAGAGAGAACGCAGCAGCCTTGGCCACCTTGCCACATTTGACAGGGACTATCAACGAAGCAATGCGATTGCTTCCAGCAGTACTGACCTTCAGCTCTCGAGTAACTCCACCAGAAGGACTAATGATAGATGGCACGTTTATCCCGGGGAATACTAAGATATGCGCACCACGCTACACAATCGGTCGACGTGAGAAACCCCCTATCGTTGCTTCGTTCAGAAATACTGAATTTGAATTTCAAGTTGAGACAGCATATGTCTACCCCCATGAGTTCATTCCCGAGCGGTGGTACAGCCAACCGGAGCTGATCAAGGATAAAAGGGCATTTGCTCCTTTTGGTGTTGGTAAGCTACGACCCTACAATTGATCCGTGTGGTCAATATCTTCCATGTGGCTAGTTGGGTTGCACGGGGATATCAAGAGGCTCGTATTCTGAGTCTTTGTTTCAACAGGGCGTACGAGCTGTGTTGGCCGTCATTTAGCTCTTGCACAAATCCGACTCGTGACTGCTGCCTTGGTGTTCCATTATCGGATAAAATTTGCATCTGGTGAAAATAATGGCGAGGCTGTGGAACGGGATATGAAGGACCAGTTGACCGCGCAGCCTGGTGCTTGTCGTCTTGTGTTTCAAAGTCGGCTATAGGCAATTTGAAGCGAGATAAGGCGAAGGTGGAGGTAATCATAATTTTTCATTGATTTCAATCGAATTCTTTTAAATTTGGTCTCAGAGTGTTGGATTAGACACAACTTGCAGCAAAATACCTATTCGCTCTTCCTACTCAGGTCGAAATCCCCAGGCAACGTGGATGTCAAATGTAACATAACAACCAGATTGAATATCCGCATAAGCCTTCTGCTCCAGATCATCAATCTGCCGCATGGTGAGCGCTCCCTGCGATCCCCTAGCAGAATGAAGCCGTGCCCAGGCAAACATAGCCCTCATCCCATTTGCAGTCAAGCGCGGGCGTGTATCATACACCCGATCCGCAGAAACAGCCTCAGTATGAACATCTGCAAGACCCGCAGTGCGCATCTCGGCCGCCAATCGATTCCAGCCATACTCGAAGCGAGGTTTCATGGCCGTCAAGAACATCAAACCTATGGTAGTAGCAGCATCGGTCGTAGAATCAGGTCTACCGGGGAAGTGACGCACGTTAGTGAAGTCGCACTCTTCCCACTGCATAGCACCGCCTGGCTTTAGAAGCTTAGCAAGATTGCGAACGGTTCTCCCCCATTCCGGCGCGGTCAAACCAGCGGCAATCAGTCGAACGTGTACAATGTCATACTGTCCCCAGAGGCTGACGGGGACATCCCTGCGGGCGTCGAGAAGGTGCAGAGTCACGTTTCTCGGGAGGGTTCTGGCGGATGGGTAGAGCGAAGTTGATATGTCATAGCCGTCTAAGATTGCGTCAGGCCAGTGACGGGCAAGGTCGCGCAGGAAGGCTGCAGTGCCGGTGGCGATGTCAGCGACTCGTGCGTGGGGATGCATTTTGTCTCGAACGGACGGGTGCAGCAGGTAGCCGATGTTTCTGTGTCAGCAGGAGTCAGTATGGTTTGCTCATGGCCTGCTTCGAAACACAGGACTTGGCGGATTTCATTACTCGGTGAGAAGGTGGAATTGCTCGTCGAGCCTATCGAGCCAATGTGAGTATTTGCTGTTTTCATTGGCCGTTGGTGAGTTCTTACCTTTGCGCTTCGGTGGAATCTCGCTGCATATTCTCCGCGTATGTATCCCTGAGAAGAGACATTTTGGACGGTGTACTTTGAATCAATCAGAAGGTCGATGTCTCGGAATGTACAAATGGAGAAAGGATGCAGGAGGCTGCAGCGGATTGATAGGAAGAGGGTGGATTTCGATGTGACTGACCGGGTCACTCTGATCTCTGCCTCAAAACAACCTTGGGGGTTTGGTCTTCACTCCAGTCACTATGGTCTGACCTGTGCACTTTCCCAGCTGAAACTCTGCTGATTCGCGAATTGGAGGAAGTTCAGGTGAAAAGGTTCTCACGTTGTACGAAATGAAGTCTGCAGTGTTCATGGACACTTTCCGTATCAGACACTATTTGCATATGCTGTCCTCTAAATTGAACCATAGCAGATTCGAAATGAAGGCGTCTCTTAAGGCAAAATGCCATTGTCCCTCTCGACATAACACTTCCGCTATTAAGCCACACACTATATACCGACCAACTCTGTTTTATACTGTCAGAGCTTGTTATTGCTGACTCCTCTCAAATATGACCCACTTGAATCATCGCTCTCCAGTCCTGATAGTGTGGAGTTTAATATTTTTCTTCATTGCTGCAGTAGCTGTTGCACTTCGAGTTGCCTCTACACATATTCGACGTCGGGGATTCAAGAGTCATGACTATCTTGTTTTTTTCTCACTGGTATGTTTGACCGGCTATGTAGTGGACATGCTTATTGGTAAGTCGATCCAACCAAATTACACGCTGCAGATAGAGTTAACGATTCATATCAGGGGCTACCACAGCTGGCTATGGCGGACATACGGCGACTATGGCTGTACGAAACCCGGGAGAGTTGGTTAGCGCATTGAAGGTACTTTCTCTGTCTCCTTGGGCATTTATGGGCAGTATTAATTTAGTCAGATCTTCTGGGCATCAGAATGGATGTGGGCAGCTTCGACAGTCTGCTTTAGACTCGCCATCCTCCTTTTATATATCGAGATCTTCCCAGGGAATCAAAAGTTCTTCTGGTGTGCAACTGGGGTGGGATGTCTTGTCTTCCTATACTGGGTATCTGCGGTCTTGACCATTGCTCTGCTCTGTCGTCCGGTTGCCTATAACTGGGACCGCACTATTCCAGGGGCTTGTGGGGATGTTTTGAAGATACAGTATGCATCTGCAGGGTTCAACATGGGCATTGACTTGGGAGTCGTGTTGCTGCCGCTCCCGATTGTTTGGCGGCTGCAAATGTCGAGTCGCAAAAAGACGGGTGTCACTGCCTCTTTCGCGATAGGCATCCTGTAAGTCCCCCGCAAACTCAGTCCGCTTAATATTCAGTTTCTGACCGCTAGTAGAACGGCCGGTATCAATCTGGGCCGGATTATTCAGACCAAGTTGTGCCCAGCTGACGACCTAGTCTACTGCCTCAGAGATTCCTCTATTTTTATCATGGCAGAAATGACGGCTGGAATCTTGGTGGCCTGTGTTCCGACCTTTGGGCCGCTATTGTTTCGCAGGCGAAACGTACATTCAGCGCAACCACGCGATCTGCCGACAATTGGGTCAGCTCGAATCCGCCGTCGGCCCGCAAAATTCGATTCTCTCCTTTCCACACTCGATCATAGTCACAATGATGCTGAAGACCGAGGCCATACAAAGGAAGTGGAGCCTGTCGGTGCGCCCACGGCACTTATCGGGGCTGGGACTGAGAATGAAGCTCCAGAGACAGGCATTTTAGTGACGCGCGACTTGGATGTGCATAGTCTGAATGTACTTCCTCGAGTGTCAGAGAATTCTACTGTTTGAGAAGGAGAGATTCTTGTCTCAGCGTCGGACGTCCAACATGCACGTTCCCGGAAGATCTGCACAGCTCCACAGTAAGGAACTGGACTTTTTTTGACAACTCCAGACCTGAAAATACGCAAGGATGCAGATGCTTATGCTCCGTACTGCATGTCAGATTTGTACCACCTGGGTGAGTCCGAGTCGTTTGTACTGGCCGTTTGTACTGGCCGTTTGGTGATTGAAGTTAGTTCAACAATACATAATTGAAAGAGATAAACCAATTGGATCAGATCAGCCCTTCAAACATAACTATCAGAGCATAGATAGTCTCAAATTATATTCTGTCTAGCATCAAGACTATATAAGGCTGTCAGACCACGTGCGGGGAACCTTGACTTTCGCTTGCCCACAACTCTACACCTTCACAACTCACCATGGTTTTCAAGTCCTTTGCAGTTGTGGTCTGCCATGGCTCCTACCATACTCCTGCTCCATATCAAGCACTTGTTGATGCCTTGACTGCGAAGGGAATTGAAACCTATTGTCCGCAACGGCCAACCTGTGATCTCAGTCAGCTGAATGTCGGCAACCCCAACAACCCAGATTTCGATCGCAGGGCTCCCCCAGGAGGCTATCCCCTCCCTGCAGATGACGCGGCAGAGATTGGGCTGCTACTCGACAAGTTGATTGCACAGGGAAAGTCGGTACTACTTGCAGGACACTCTTCCGGTGGTTGGGTCGCCGCTGAGGCTGCACAATATTCTCGCCAAGCTCCTGTCCGCGCGAGGGAAGGAAAGATGGGTGGTGTGATTGGGATCTTCTTCATCGGGGCATTCATTGTTCCGCAAGGCCAATCAGTACACTCATTCTTTCAGCCCCCGGACGGAAAAGTTGTTGTACCTCCGTTTATGCGATTCCATGTGGGTTGAGTAATGCATCAAACCTATGCAGGTAAATACTGACTGTTTAATAGGAACATGGCGTCAATGGCCTCGGAACCATGGTCGACCCTGAGAAGTACCTCTTCAACGACCTTGACGCAGCGACCGCGAAGAAGTGGGCATCCACGTTAACAGCAGCTCCCGTCATGAATAGTCCCCTCACCCACAATCCTTATGATGTTCTCCCGTGCGCCTATCTTGTATTGGAAAAGGATCGTACTTTGCCTAAGGAGTATCAGGAAGGAATGGCGGCAAGTCAGAGCAAGCCGTTCACGATTTATCATGCGCCATGTGGTCACTCGCCGCACCTTAGTTGGACAAATGAGCTCGCTGGAAAGATAGAGGAATTCGGAAAGCAGGTTCTAACTGAACGCAGCACAGCATATTAAGTGATATCCAGAAATAAATCTCTCTTGAAAACATAAGAGCCAATATGAGTTACACCTGAACAATCCTAAGGTCTGACGAATGGGAAGGTGAAGGGCGTTTGTGCAACAGCGCCTTCTATTCGAGGTCAAACACTTTCCCTTTCCAACTTTTCTTTCCTTCGCCTCTTCAACATCTTCAACCATCTACCATCCCTCTCTCCATTACAGCCATGGATACCCCTCGCTATGTATTCGGCGCCCAAGGATTCGGCGTGGCCTGGACAGCTGACAATGTCGACTACCTGATGAATAGCCTCACGGACGCTGGAATCCATCAATTTGACACAGCTGCCCTGTATCCTGCCACAAACCCTGGTGAATCTGAAGAACTACTAGGTAAAAAGAAGCCAGAGAATGCAATCATCGACACGAAGGTTCTGTTCATTGGCGATGACTCTTTATCCTTCAAAAACATGGGAGCCTCTATCAAAGCCAGTTTGGAGCGTCTGCAGGTCAAGAAGGTGAGTGAAAAGCGTACCCGAGCTGTGAGTAAGGCTGATACGGTTATTTAACCTAGATCCACACCCTCTACGCTCATGCCCCGGACCGCAAGACCCCCATTCCTCTACAAGCCGCACACTTCGACCATTACTATCGTAAGGGGTACTTTGAAAGGTTGGGGCTGTCCAACTACAGTCCGTCTGCGATCCGGGCCTGGATGGAAATCGCAGTGGAGGAGAACCTCATTATGCCTTCTGTTTATCAAGGCCAGTACAACGTCTTCTGTCGAGGCTACGAGGATGAGCTTTTCTCAGTACTCCGCGAGTTCGGCATTGACTTCGAAGCAACTTCGCCGCTGGCGGGTGGATTCCTCACTGGGAAGCTTTCCTATTCACCATCGCCTGAACAGTTAGAGGGTACCCGCTTCGAGGTCGGTGAGGGTAATATGCTCGGTGCAGTTTACCGCATGTGGTACGATCAGCCCCTCTATCACCAAGCGATGCGAAGGTTGGACGATATTGGTAAAAGGCTGGGGACTACGGGGGCCCAATGTGCCATGCGTTGGCTGCTTTTCCACTCCAACCTCAAAGATCCTGACCGAATTGTCATCGGACCAAGTACTCTGAAGCAGCTCCAAGACTATGTCAATGCCCGGAAGTCTGGACCACTTCCAACCGATGCAGCGGGCGAGATCAGCGCGCTTTGGCCGGCCCTGAAGGAAGTTGCGGCGACGATTATCGAGAAGGGATGGTGGTCTCTGTGATTGATATGTTTAACTTTCGGGGGATCGCGATGAAATTGCCCATGAAAAGAAGCCCCAATGGGATGATAAGTCATTCATAAGCGGCAGGGTGGACTACCTACATATATGTAGGTACAAGCATGCACTCATCCAGTTAAGCCTTAAGCTCACGGATACACAAACTACATTCAATGCTATCTTCTTGTTCTTCATCATATGTATCTCCCCTGAGATATCTGCCCCCTCTGGTAACTTTCCGACTTACACAATCGCCCATTTTCAGCTACACTCCAAGCCTCACTACCAACAGCCTTAAAAGCGTAGAACCTATTGTAAGGATCATACTTCCTCTTGATCTCTAGTAGACTGTTATAGTTGTCACCATAAAACACCTGTTGCCAATCCCTTTGGTTTGGATCGGGTTCATTCAAATATGCGCCACTTCCAGGTGTCAATTCTGTTAGCGGCGGCATAAGAACGTCGGTAATGGTCTGCTGGCGAGCGACATTGCCTTCCCAGCCAGTATAGTCGAATGGCCTAGATTAAGATTAATAAGACGTTTGTCTGACTCCGGATGGAACAAAAGACATACGCTCCAATTATGACGTCCATCAACGCATCTCGCCAGGCTGGATTGACGCTGTTGTCGGGATATGGAACTCGAGACGAGTTCACCACAACTCCTGAAATGAGGAATCCGGCGTTACTTTCGACGATGTTACGGAAGATGGTGTTTAGATCAGTCGGCCGTTGTTCGACTACGGATTTTGGAATGAGGCGACCACCAGGTAGCTGATCAGTTATGTTGATCGGTGAGGTCATCGTCTGGTAGGCATCGTAGTATGTAGGGAAATCGTTCACATAATATGCTGTTCACTCACTGTCAACGTCCGCTCCACCTTTTTGTCATCTTTTACTCACTGTACTGTATCTTGTTTTCTTCGAGGAATGCAGTCAAAGGTCTAAAAAGAGAATTGAAAAGTGTCGCTGTGCCGCCAGGAATGGTAGTAGGCGTTGTTGACAGTGTAGTGTTCGTTAACCACCAAATACTAGTACCTCCAGCATCCCCGATCGAGGGAAGAATCGATACGAACATGGCGACCGCTGCAAAGAATGTTTCTCGCGATACACCGGTGTCGGAGAATGTCAAGTTACCCGATGCCGTTGACAGTTCAGGGTAAGCCTTGCTCGTCATCGACACAACAACACCGTAAGTCCCTCCACCTCCACCTGACAATGCCCAGTAGAGATCCGGGTGATTCATTGGTGACCCGGTCACCAGCTTTCCGTTCGCAAGAACAACCTCCCATTCCAGGACCTGATCAGCGGCGAGCCCAACATGGGACACCAGTTGGCCATGCCCGCCGCCTTGCGAATATCCCCCTGCCAGCCCGACCGTTGGACAGTTGCCGCCCACGATAAGAAGCCCAGCTTTATAAGCCGCGTCGCTGGCTTCAAAGGATTGGACCCCAGCTCCCATCTTCATGGCCTTGCCGGAATAGTTTGGTGAGTCGTAGTCCACAATGGAGATATCTTTCATGTAATGCATCCAGATTGCCAGCCCTCCAGCGCCAGTAGACTTCCCAAGTAGGTCATGTCCAGTATTGCGGATGACAAGGCGGATATTGTGACGAGCAGCAAAACGAATTGTCTTCTGGACGTGAGCAGCATCTGTTGCATTCACGGCGTACTGGACGTAGTTCCCGAACGTGCAGTGTGAAGTCTTGGATGAGAAGGGATTGCAGCTTAAATTTGTGAACATCGGTGCCATAATCGACGAGGAGCTCTCATAATGCGTTTCTGGGAATCCCCAATTGGACTGAAGTTGAGCGCATTGCGATTGATTGTACGGTGTGAACGCGTCGATGTGACAGACGCTGGCAATCGGGATAGTTGCAATCAAGTTCCCATGCACTGTTTTGTTGAATTGGGCCCATCTATGTTCTTCAGGCCAGCAGGGATCTTGCGGCATGCAACGACACGCAGGGGAACTTGTGTCATTTGCGGCTGAAAGCCCACAAAGCAGAGTTGCGACGAGAAGGACAGCTAGACAGAGCCGCCTCCAGGCGGGACAGGGGTTGGGCATTGTGATACTCGAGTTCACTTAATGTTCCTGCGAGTAGATAGGTTATATACCTGTAGGAAGGACATAACCCCAAGAACATGCCATGTCCTGGGAAGTGGAACTCAGCCTCACTCAAAACAGCGCGCTCTGCATATGAGACGGTAGCTGAAGACGGCCAATCTTGACAATGGGCGTTCTGCCATTCAGAAAGTTAATAATCGGCGGTAATGGATGCATAAGATAAAAGGTTGTACATTACGAAAGGTGGGAACTCTAGCGGTGAGAATAATGTATTTATTAATAGGCATTGTCAAAATTGGCCGCTTCTGACTGCCGTATGAGACCCTGATAGATGCCGAAATATCACATCACTTCTCCCGCATATGCAGCTGTGACCGCAACTCTGAGTCAGTGATGGGGCGGGACGTCTTGTTTCAAATTCCGAGGAATAAGACACTCTGCTCATCCTAGGTGTTGTGAGAGAGGCTCAACGTTGGAGTCCCTAAGGTTTGGTGTAACTACCTTGAGTAAGGAGTGACACGTAAGGTAGAGATGACTCGAGGCGAATACTTCCAAAGTTTACTATATAAATATATCTATAATATCTTATATCATCGTACGAAGTAGACCTCATGGCTGCTGGTCCAATCTAGAAAATTTCGATACACAACTTACGAAGCTTAGGGAGATAGGGAGATTAAAAATCGAGGTTACTCCATCTATGCTGAGATTGTCAATCATAGGGGAACGAGTTCATCTCGCCCTCCAGGAAGCTACCCCGATTAACCCCATCTCTTTCATCGGTCGACCCTCCCTAATTCCGCGTGATAGATAGGTCATTCTTCACCCGGAGCTGTTCCAAGCTCTTTCGCAAGTGTTCACCACTACTGGCAAACTTGGAAATGGTGAAGGATTTCCACTGGGGATGAAAACCATTTTGGATATTTGTTGTTAAAAGAGGGCTGTCCAGTTCACTTGAATGCATTCCTGCGAGACATTAGGCCCATACTGAAAGGCATGTGGGCCTTGACTTTGCTGGTAATGATAATGCAGATCGTAAAGTCCAAATGAAAGGCTATTCTCTACCTAGGTACGCCCCCTAGGGTTCTTCCTCCTCTGTCCAGCTTTCTCGTATGTTCCCTTCTATCAACGAAAAACCATTTGTCGATGGCCATAAGCACTTCTTCCAATGCAACTCTTTTTCTCGTTTGGTCCATCCTTCACTACACAGATCAGAGGGAAATTCGATCACGGTCTGGCGTAGTTTCGAATCGGCCTTTGAGATGTCATGGGTACAAACTACCATTTTCACAGAGATGAAGTGGAGAGTAAGTTTTTGTTTAGCTCCATGCTCTCCAAACATGTGCGGTGACAAAGTTGTGGGATAGGATGGATTGCATATACTTTCAAAGGCTCGTTCTGGATGTACGCAATCAATACCCGGGTGTAACCCGAGGTGAAGTGAGAGGAATGGCAAGGCCTGGAGACTAATATATCTCTGCTCTGTCTTCACACAATATAACGACTTTCCAGAGCCTTCTTCTTCAACACTCTCAAGGTAATCTATTACTAAAGGCGTATTCTTGTTTCCCATATCTCGTAGGTTTATATGCCGAATACTACACCAGAAGAGACACCAGGAAAGACACGACAACTCTCGGAGTGTTGTCGTACTCTTTAGAATAGGCAGTTACGAATAGGTTGTTCTCACAAATACCTATATGGTGCCCCTTCGCATTGTTTGCATTGGTCGTTGATATAAAACATCTCGGAGAGCTGAGCCAGATCTTACTTCCTTTCTCTCCTCATTCCAAGGCTAGTGAGATTTCGAGACTGTAACAAGTGGAGCTGTGAGTATTTAGAGCCGACATTCTCAAGTGTAGACCAGACTAACACGTATGATTCTTAGAGTCTCCCTCTAAGAATATGTACCTACATCATCACATTGACAATATCGACCTCTGTCACCACCCCTCGCTATCCTACCTATTACTTGATACTCCACTTACGACGGCCTTCGAAAAGGCAAGAGCAACTATCGCCAGCATTCTGCACAGAGTAATTCGAGGAAATTGTATCGACAAATACAATCGCGACTATCCTTGCCCCCTACCTTTGCGACGTCGAGATTGAGTTTCTGCCTGGGAGTCTCAAGCTACTAGCTCACCGCAATGTATCCTTCCTATACCGAATGGAAGTCGGTATCGAGGCGGAGATGGGGTGGCTCGGTCGGGATTCATTCCGACAACAATACAGGGACCCTAGGTGGCTACGTCGTGCTGGCCGACAATGAAACATTCACCAGGGGTTCCTCACGAATTACCATGTCACAAGGTCCCCAAAATGTTCAAAGCCTATGGCACGAACCGTGACCGCCTTGGCCGGTCACTCACTTCAACCCAAGCGCTGCGGATTCAAATGGAGTGCCTTTCTCAGGTGGATCGTGACCACACAATAAAAGAAAAGAAAAGTCTGTTTTACAAGCTAAACCTTTTTTGGCCCTTTTCTACTATCTACATAGCTAACAAACTAAGAAGGGGGAGAAAATATGTATATAACTAGATATCTAAAAAGACTACCTAGGAGACTACTAAAAAAGACCACTAAAAAAACATATAAAAAGACTATCGGAGAAGACCACTGGACTACGGCCGTATAAGCGGCCCAGTATTCTTATCTCCACAATAATAAAGTAATCGGCCACTTCTACTGTTTGTACAACGTCCTTAAAGAAACCATGAAGTCCGAGGGCATCAAGGAAAACTTTTTCACAGCGTTCGGCATCAGTGCCCTAGCAGGTGTAGTTATTGTCTACGGTACACAACCGTTTGATACCATCAAAACGCGTGCACAGGGTGTCCAAGGAGCTGGGATTGTTGAAGCCTCCCGGAGCGTGATCCGCGACTACGGGATTCCCATGCGACTGGGCCGGCTACTTCTGAGTGGTGGCATCGTATTTTCTGTTTATGAAGAGGTACTCGCCATTCTGTCTCCGGGACGCATCGATAGATCTCAAAAAGAGCCGAGAAACTTGTGTACACTTGTGTACACGCGGCTATGTATGAAATAGACTATGCAGGCTAGCTTTGGAATCAATATGAATAGGGAATAATACAGGCACATGCTCAAAGAACAGGGCTGGTGTAGACTTCAATAGAAGCTTTTTCAACGGTATTCCGCCATCCAGGAAAACGCGCCCGTGGGACAATCGAAATCCGATCACCCGCTTGAAGATTTTGCATCCAGTGTAGTTTCTGGTCACTGTGATACGTAATCCGGTGATGCATGGTTTCGCGTCCAGCGTGAACATTGGTCGCCAGACGAAGGTTCTCGTCCTTGGAGATATCATCTCGTCCCGGTGGTCTTTCAATAGCAAGATCGAACCACGTCCAAGAGTTTCTGAATGTACCATGATCTTCGCGATAGCTGCTCCATCCTTGATCATGGCTCCAGATGTTTATTCTGATATCTCGAACGGGAAATCGCTCGCCTTGAATGGGCTCAGATGTCAAGTATGGGTTTCGATCGCGACAGTCTCTTTCAGTATAGTCCACGCTGTCTTCTCTGCGGATGGCAGATAACACCCAATACTCTGCGAATTCTAGAATCTCCAGGACGAGTTCAGATGGCAACTTTTGGCGGAGAATGTTGAAGCTCTCGACGGCATCTGCTGAATGCCTTGGGTAATACATTGGGTTTCCTTCAGGGGATGAAGCTTCGTGTCGGACAGAGTTAACATCTTCTGATGGTGTGGAGTAAGAGGACCCCATGGCGACTAGAAGAGGTGACGTGGTTCGGCCAGGGTGTGCGCCCGATTAGCTCGGCCACTCGTGGCTTGACATCGTGATCGAGCTGTGGCTATGCAGGATCACGGGGCATCTGTGGATATCTTTTTCCAGCATGTCAGCTAGTTAACAAATTAATGTTCGGCAATCGAAACATACGTTTATGGTATTTCAAGTCGTAGAACTCAAAAAAATGACGCGGTCCAGGTTTGGGGGCTCATACACAGTGATATATATATCTAATTTCTTTGGCCATGAGGTATCTGTATTCGTTACGGTGTGAATCAACATGAAATTGTTGAAAAGTGAGGAATAATCTTGTTAATCAATCGACGAGGGCAAAATCCCAACGCTTCCTGTCCTGTTTTTCCTACGCTCGCTTTACCCGATTTTCATCCTTGTAGGAAGTGTCCACCTACTCAACTCGCTCATTTTCCTCTTCCTCTCGTTCCTAATCCTCCTCTTCGTTCTCATTGTCATGCTCTTCATACTGCCCCTCATCATGCTCTTCTTCCTCATTGCCTTCCTCCTCATCCTCATCCTTGTCCTCCTCTTCCTCTTCCTCATCCTTATCCTCCAGCTCATCCTCTGTCCCCACCTTTCATAAGTTCAAATCCAGCAAACACACTTTCGGCATCAGAATGGTAACCATCCTGGCTAGAAGAATCGATATGACCAGACTCGGTAAGGAACCCAGCGACTTTCGCGATATCGTGGTCGATGCGATCCTTGACAGACTTCAACGAACGGAGAGCCACATGTTTCTGGTGGTAGTTCTTCTGTGAGCCCACACTGGGATCATCAAGAGGCGAGGAATACCAAACCCTATCGTACTCGGGTCCTGTCAGGGAGGGGATGTGGGTAGAGGGCTGGTCATCCTTTCTACCGGCCTTGGAAGCAGGAGCATCGGTAGAATGTCCCTATAAAATAGTCAATAAGCAACCCATTTATTATATGCCCTGATGCGCACTAGAGCTTATTTGGAATGACGAACAATAGCCTTTCGTTTCTTGGCAGATGCATTGGATAACCCCCTGTGAGGAAGAAGGAGAACCTCGAGATGGCAAATTTGCGATAGCTTCTAGCCAACTTGGAGGGGATGCAATGAAACTGCACGGGGTTCCGACAATTCTGCAATGATACAAGTACCAGCATACATTACCTTGGGCTCTCCGGTTAGATTGTAAGTGAAGACTACACATGTCGTGAAGGTGCCAGGGCAATCCTGACAGCGAAGGCACTCTTCCCCTTCAGGTGCAATCGTCCAATCTGTTGCCCAACCGCTGAAATCTTCTGTACTCCACTAAGTAAATTTTGTGGACCGTTTTTCCAATCCAGAGGCCGAGAAAAGGCGCCACTTTTCTTTACAATACGTCGGATCAGGAAAGTGTTTGGGCCAAACGACTGAGTTGGGCTGGGTCAACCCTGCCCTCGCGAATCAGGCCTGACATATCTCGTAAAGTTCAGAATTTGGCCTCAAGGAATCTGAGATAGACTTACGGCCAGTAGGAGGAGCATCATGGTCGTTTGAACCTTCGTGATTTACGGGTAAGGCAGCATAGAGGATAGTAAGTCAGCATTAATATCCCTCATTCCGGGTTCTTCCTCTGAACTCTCCTACCTTTGGATTCCTTGGAGGGCATATTGATGACGATGGACCATCAATATGATGAAGTAGCCGTGCGTTGAAGGCTAAACACCATCAACGAAAGAAAGCGGGTTGAAGAAATTAAGTGGGTGGATGTGAAAGGAAAGAAAACTTCAAGTCATAACTGGCCCATAAGGCTCTATTTTATACGTGCAGGTGCAATACCATGCAGTGCAATTCCGGATGCTACCTATGTATGTGCATGTACGTAGGTAGGTATGCCCAGGTGTACATACGTAGTTCCATCAGCATTTGGTTGCCATAAAACAAACAATTAGCTCTATAACCTTGGAAATGCACGACACCCAGAACAGGTTGATTATCACTGGAATAACCCCATCCCCTGCCATGCTGCATCCTCCCTGAATGTAGCCAATACCTCCCCCGGAGCGCTCTAATCACATTGTACGTTAAATTAACGTCTATATTAAATACCACTTAGAAATGATGGTAGGTGCTTGATTCTTGCGGTTCCTTCGAAATCACATCAAGTAACACATATTGATGATACTACCCCAGAAAAGGTCTCAATCGAGTGCTTGCACAACCTGCGCCCAATCCCCGAATCCATAAGCGCCCGGCACGCTTTCACCATCGAATAGACTTGCCATGATCACTCGATCAGATTGCTCGCCTTGCCAGGGTTCTCTGCCATGTTGCGCAATGATGTTATCATAAACTAGAACATCACCTTCCTGCCAATGATGCAGGACACGAATCTCGTCTGTGATCTTTGCCAGATGTGCAAGATACTTTTCAGGAATAGGTGTCCCATCCCCAAAGAGCTGTTGCGTGACGTTCTTTCGAGCCTCAGCATCAAACTGTGTACGTTTCCAATAGGCTGCTAACCCAGTGAAGAGAGTCGGCAGGTTTGTGCCGGGCTGCGTTCGGATGACAGGTAGCCGATGCGTCAAGACAAGACCATCCTCAGCCCACTCCCATGTCGTATGCTCCCCTCTGCCGTACCGAGCAATCTGAGCCTCGATGTTGCGGCGTTTTGTCTCTTCGTCATCTCCATCTCGAATTTCCTTGCCAAAGGCCTGTTTCAGCGTCGATCCCCCTTCGTACTGCTTGTCCACTCGGTATGTCACCTTACTCAGAATTCCTTTCTCAGCTAGTTCGGCGATAAATTCAGGGATCTCTTGCTGCGCACGGTTGAACAATTCCAATGAAGAAGAGATCGGTGATTCCCCGCCCTTGGGCGGGGCATGATGCCCGTAGAAAAAGATATACTCGGGCGCATGTGGTACTTGCGGCGACTCGTTGTGGTTGTATATCAGAACCTCCTTGGGGGCTTCGTTGGCGGGAGCGACATTTGGCGCAAGCAGTGGTCTGTCAACCACAATGCCAATAATCTCGTGGGGCTTGTATCCGAAAGCATGCGCGAATTTGCTGAAGTCTTCTGCGTTGTGAATGGGTAGATCGCGAAACAGCAGCGTGCCATGCCTGGCGAGCTTCTTGGTCAAAATGCCGTCTTTTTCTTGGAGAGTCTTGATTATCTCTACAACAGCATCGAGAGTTACCTTGGCGTCACCCTTGGTGGGTCGCAACGCAAGCGGGATAACTGTGTTCCTGGGATGCGGCGGTCCGAGGATACGTTGGTTGGAAGTTGGGAGGTCGAAGGATTCAAATGTGATGATAGAGTCCTCCAATCGAAGCTTCTCGGTCTGCATCTCTTCGGTAGTTGTTGCCATTCTTTGCTCAAGTTAAATGTGATTGTAGGTGATTAAGTTACCACAGTCAAGCACATATCGTACATTTGTAGCTGAGGGCACGACCCCTCACAACTGCCGAGGTAGCGGAGTATTATTGGATAGCCTGGACATTATTCGTGATACAAGGCACCTTCCCAGCCCATTATGGCCTCATCATCAATTGCCGAGCGTTATCACGATTATGCCATGCGCGTATAATTTTGCGTGCTTGTCTGGGCATCGTCCCGATAAACGGGATATACGAGGAGTCTCCATTTGATCATATAAAATAGACTTACTGAGTCCTGCGCATGACAGGGATCACATTTCCCTTGATTTGCTCATCTGGTCTCCTATACCACAGTCATGTTAGCATCAGGGCATTCTGAACCCAAAGCCAATGTATCAACGACCGAGGAAAGCCAAGATGAACACCCAATACCTTGTCGAAGATTCTTTTACAGTACGCTTTTTCAAATCCTGGTTGTAGGATTATGTGCATTCTGCGCTCCAGGGATATGGAGTGCAATGAATGGCTTAGGCGTGGGCGGATCTCAAAGCCCAGATCTTGTCAACACAGCCAACGCCTTACTATACGCCTTCATGACACTGACCTGTTTTGCGGGTCCATTCATCACAAACGCAATCGGCTTTCGCTGGACCCTGACCTTAGGGTCCGTTGGATACCCACTCTATGCAGCGGGGCTATATTTGAACAACCGCACTGGCGCAACATGGCTTGTTTATCTCGGTTGTGTCACTTGCGGCCTCGGCGCTGGTTTCTTTTGGAGTGTTGAGGGTGCCGTCGCGACAGGGTACCCCGAGCAGCACAAGCGTGGTCGGTACATTGCGACCTGGTTCACGTTCCGCAATTTTGGCAACATCATCGGCGGTGCCGTCTCTTTAGGCATCAATCACAGCGTCAACCAGCGCGGGCAGGTTGGGTACCAGACGTATCTTGCTTTCATTGCCATACAGTGTCTTGGACTAGTCGTAGGTCCCCTCTTGTCAAATCCAGAGAAAGTGCAAAGAGACGATGGAACGCGTATCGAGGCCCCCCGCGGCATCCACTGGCGGGAAGAGCTCCGCACGATGTGGCGGCTAGTAAGGAGCAGGTCGATACTGCTCCTTGTCCCGCTGTTCTGGTACTTTGGGTGGATCCAGGCATACCCTGGCACATATCTTGCGACCTATTTCACCGTTCGCGCGCGTGCACTCGGAAGCTTCATGTCTGCAGTCGTTGGAACGCTGGCGACTTGGTTGGGTGGGTCGTTGGTAGATCTGGCTTGGTTGAAAAATCGGAAGCATAGAGCAATCGTCACATTCGTCGTGATTGCACTCATGAATAGCGCAACCTGGATCTGGGCGGTCATTATTCAGAACGAGTACCGTCACACGAACCCCGTGTTGGACTGGGGGAACCAACGCACTTTCGGTCGTGGCTTTGGCCTGTATCTCTTTGAACGCATCAGTCTCGGCTTAGTCGAGAACTATATTTACTGGTGCATTGGGAATTTGTCGGACTCACCTGGCGATCAAATTCGATACAGTTCACTGCTTCGGGGGATCGAAACCGCTGCAGTTGCAGTAGGTTTTGGCGTTCAGGCGGTGCCGACAGCATTGATCGCGACAGCGAGTATCAATCTTGGTCTGTGGTTTATTGCGTTACCTTTCAGTTATTATGCCACCATCCAAGTCGTTCAAAAGTTCGAATTGTTGGAGAAAGGAAAGCAGGATCTGGACGGAAGCGACAGAGCAGCTGAGCAGGGTGTGGCTGGACGATGAACGCTACCGTCTCAAGCTTCGCCTGGGTAGTTAGTACCCTTTTGTCAAGTAGAAATGTATTTGAGTTTTCGAAGACTCTATCATATATTCTAAGTGTTCTTGAGAGTATCACCAAGGCACTTGCTTTAGCGATCTACCACCGCACCATATGAGTGCTGACAATATGTACAAATGAAAATTTAAAGCACATGGGTAAAGGACCATTGATTACGCCTATGACAATACCGCCGCAAACAGTGCGAAAAGCAAAGTTATCGATACACTACACAATGGTAGAGGTATTGCCTACCCAGTGCCAGGCAGGTGGACATGCTCTTAGTGACTGCTGCACCTCGAATCTGAGCTTTATGACGAGCTTTCAGGACGCGATCTTATAGAGTCAACTCCGCGTGCTGAATTATAGATGTTGGTCATCCTGTTCTTCTATACGCCGAGGTCTATTCAAGGCATATAGTTGGGCTACTTGGGTTTTTGCCATGCTCAATGTGCAATGTATCAATCAGACAAGAATATATCCTGCAAATGAAAAGCTCGACGTCATTCAACCGAGGCCCAAAACGCCGTAGATCGAGAATGCCAAGATCCCAAGTCGGCTATATGCGAATGACCTCGATGGTATATATTCGACCGAGGAGATTCTTCGGTCGATTCTCCAAAATATTAAATACAATTGTAACCATGTACCGATCACAAATCCGACGTGCTCTGCGGTGGCAATGGCCTACACTTCGGCAAGGCCCATATCGGACGGGGATGCCTCGTGGTCGCGCGGCATTCTCCACCTCAGGGCGGCGGGACATTATGGGGATGACTGGCTTTACCGACGAGCAGCTCACAGTCCGTGAAGCGATCTCGAATATTTGTTCCAAATTTCCAAATACATATTGGCAGGAGCGTGATCAACAAGAAAAAGATCCAAAGGAATTCCATGCTGCATTGGCGAAAGATGGATGGCTTGGCATTGCTTTGCCCGAATCCCTTGGAGGCGCTGGTCTAGGTACAGTTGCGCGGACATTTTGTTTGGTTCTTTTATAGATTACTAACCTTCTTGCAGGTATCTCTGAGGCAACAATAATGATGCAGACGATTACACAATCAGGCGCAGGTATGGCCGGTGCTCAGGCTATTCATGCCAACGTCTATGCGACACAGCCGTTGGCCAAGTTTGGCACCAAGCAACAGCTAGAGACTACCATTCCAAATATTATCAACGGAACATGGCGCACATGCTTTGGTGTTACCGAGCCAAATACTGGCCTCGAAACTCTCAAGCTCACGACCTTGGCTAGCAAAACGGGTGACGGATATTCGGTCACCGGTCAGAAGATCTGGATTACCTGTGCACAAGTGGCATCGAAGATGATCCTCCTCGCCCGAACCACGCCTCTTGAGGAGGTCAAAAAGACCAGCGAGGGTCTCTCCTTGTTTTGTATTGATATTGACCGTGAAAACCCTGGTTTGGACCTGCGCAAGATCAAGAAGATGGGTGGACGTGCTGTGGACGCCAACGAGGTCTTCTTTGATAATTATAAGATCCCTGCAGACACATTAATTGGCGAGGAGAACCAAGGCTTTAAGATTATCCTCCACGGCATGAACGCAGAGCGATGCCTTCTAGCCGGTGAGGCACTTGGTCTTGGCTATGCCGCTCTGGAAAAGGCCTCACAGTACGCTAAGGACAGAGTTGTTTTTGGGCGGCCAATTGGTCAGAACCAGGGTGTGGCGCATCCGTTGGCTGATGCGTTCATGAAACTGGAGGCGGCGAAGCTGGCTACCTACCACGCAGCACGTCTCTATGATACCAACGATGGATCTGTGCCTTTCCATGAAATCGGTGTCGCGTGCAACAGTGGGAAGTATCTGGCTGCAGAGGCTGCTTTCATGGCGTGTGAGAGGGCAGTTCTGGCGCATGGTGGTATGGGGTATGCGGTCGAGTACGATGTCGAACGATATATGCGCGAATGTTTCGTACCTCGCATTGCACCCGTGAGTCGGGAGATGATCTTGAATTTTGTGGGCGAGAAGGTCCTTGATTTACCTAGAAGCTACTAAAGTTCTATCTGTACAATAAATGAGAATAGGATCACGCACACATTCTGCTGTCAAGTGATGATTGAAACTGCCAAGATGGGATAACCAGAATTCAGTATTTTCCTTCTTTCTTCTTACCAACCTAGATGAAGATTTCTCGAAGCCCGGATAAAACTGTGCATGAGATGGATACATTCTAGTATAGAGAAATATAAATTGATGTATTCTCCCGGGGTCCCGGTAATGGGCTGACAACGACGCGTATCCAATTGGCGGGGAGGTTTTGACCTTCTCCGGTCTCATGGTCGGACGACCGACAGACCCACTTCCTTGAGCTTCCGCCTTTTATTTCTTGTCCCCCTCTCTTCTCCAGACTTTCAATTGTATTGCTCTATTTGGTGATTTTTGGATATCCATCTCATCATGCTTCCTCAGACTCGGGCCCGTGTGCCCGCCGCTCTCCGGAGCTTGTCCAGGTCTAACCCTGTGTGAGTTGATTCAATTGTGTTGCGGCAACTGCTTCTCCAGTGACTGACTTCTATTTTCTCTCTAGTCGGACTCTCTCAACCACTCTCCCTCGCTTCCAGAATGATAAGGCCCTCAACAAGGTCTCCCGCCACATCACCCAGCCCAAGGCACAGGGTGCTTCCCAAGCGATGCTGTACGCCGTCGGTTTGAAAGAGGAGGACATGAACAAGGCGCAGGTCGGAATTTCGTCGGTGTGGTTCAACGGCAACCCTTGCAACATGCATTTGCTTGACCTGAACAACAAGGTCCGCCAGGGTGTCCAGGATCAGGACTTGATTGGCTTCCAGTTCAACACCGTCGGTGTCAGTGATGCAATCAGTATGGGTACCTCTGGTATGCGTTACTCTCTGCAGAGTCGTGACCTTATTGCCGATTCCGTCGAGACCGTGATGGGTGGACAGTGGTACGATGCCAACATCAGTATTCCCGGTTGTGACAAGAACATGCCCGGTGTTCTGATGGCTATGGGCCGTATCAACCGCCCCAGTCTGATGGTCTACGGTGGATCCATCAAGCCCGGCTGCGCTGTTACCCAGAATAACGCCGATATCGATATTGTGTCTGCTTTCCAGGCCTACGGTCAATTCCTTACCAAGGAGATCACCGAGCCCCAGCGCTTTGATGTCATCCGCCATGCCTGCCCCGGCGAGGGAGCTTGTGGTGGTATGTACACTGCCAACACCATGGCCTCCGCCATTGAGACCATGGGTATGACCCTTCCCGGTTCATCATCCAACCCGGCCAACTCCCAGGCCAAGTACCTTGAGTGTCTCGCCGCTGGTGGTGCCATCAAGAGGCTCCTCGCCGAGGACATCCGCCCTCGAGATATTCTTACTCGTCAGGCCTTTGAGAACGCCATGGTTGTTGTCAACATCACCGGTGGCTCTACGAACGCTGTGCTGCACTTGATTGCCATCGCTGACTCGGTCGGCATCAAGCTCACCATTGATGACTTCCAGGCCGTGTCCGACCGGATTCCCTTCCTCGCTGATCTCAAGCCCTCTGGCAAGTACGTCATGGCCGATCTGCACGCCGTCGGTGGTACCCCGGCACTCCTGAAGCTGCTCCTCAAGGAGGGTCTTATTGATGGCTCTGGTATGACCGTTACTGGTGAGACCATGGCTCAGAACCTGGAGAAGCTCCCTGGCTTCCCCGAGGACCAGAAGATCATCCGCCCCTTCTCCAACCCTATCAAGGAGACTGGTCACATTCAGATCCTCCGTGGCTCTCTGGCCCCTGGTGGCAGTGTTGGTAAGATCACCGGTAAGGAGGGAATGTCCTTTACCGGAAAGGCTCGCGTGTTCGATAGTGAGGACGACTTCATCGCCGCTCTGGAACGCGGTGAAATCAAGAAGGAGGAGAAGACCGTTGTTGTTATTCGCTACTGCGGTCCTAAGGGTGGCCCTGGAATGCCTGGTATGTGCAATGAATCCACAGAATCGCTGACCATTATGCTAACATTATTATAGAGATGCTCAAGCCCTCTAGTGCCCTCATGGGTTACGGTCTGGGTCAATCCTGTGCGCTCATCACTGACGGCCGTTTCTCCGGTGGCTCTCACGGCTTCTTGATCGGTCACATTGTCCCCGAGGCTGCCGTTGGTGGTCCCATCGGCCTTGTCAATGATGGTGATGTTATCACCATCGATGCCGAAAAGCGCATTCTTGATGTCGAACTCTCCGACGCTGAGTTTGCCGACCGCAAAAAGAAGTGGGAAGCCCGCAAGGATGCTGGCGACCTCCCTGAGACTGGTCTCACCATGCGTGGTACTCTAGGCAAATATGCCAGAACCGTCCAAGATGCCAGCCAGGGCTGTATCACTGATGCTCTAGAGTAAAATCTTTCCTTGGTTTTCCGTTTTCTTTTTTTTGGTCTCGGGCCCTGTCTGAAATACAAAAGCGATTCCCCGTTATGGAGCCTGTCTTATATATGATATCATTTTGAATAATACTTTCTTTCTTGTTCAATTGGATTGCTTTTGAGCGATTTTCATTTTGTGTTCGACTCTTGCTTTCTACTTGCCACATCTTGGCCTCTCTGGGTATATAAGCCAGGTTGCTCACATCATCCGTCACGCAGTCCCCATGCATTCCGCGCGCGCTAATAATCCCAAGTCTGCAAACCATGCAAACATGACTAATCCAGAACAAACCAGCAGCCCCCGGGCCGGGCGACCTCCCGAAATCGGGAACCCGTCAAGCTTCGGCGCCTTGTGCCGACGGTCTTTGGGTTCAAGCATGTTCCCTGTTTAGGAGGCCTCATGAAGTACGGACTACAACCCCTGCCTTCGTTTGAGCAGAAGCGCCCGCAGAGCCATTATGTAACTATTGAGACTGAACCAGGTAAATCTCGGTTTTATTCACTGCATGATTGATTGACCGGAAATACTCCAATATAGATCCGCTTCCAACAAGTGTAGAGAGTGCCGCCCTAGAAATCTCGAAGTGGTGTAACTACACTTTTGGCTATCGTACCTACATACGTCACGTCTACCCTCCTTCTTGTAAGGCCGTGTATCCGCCGATCTCACTGTTGTTGACGGATATGTCGATGAGCATGCTGCTGCAGACCCTCGTTAAACTTACCTCCTAAGAAAATTAAATTAGGTAATGGTCTCACTGTACCACATTGATCTCTGGCGCCAGATTCCCGAAGACCTAAGAAGTAGCTGGGGTGTCACAATCGGCAAGGATTTGTCCGCATAACCTTTTTTCTATGACATAATTGCACAGTACAGCAATGTGAGGTTTTGCAAGGTTATTCCTACTTCCGCCAGTGTGTCACATATTGAGCATAGTTCTGTGGCAGTAGTAAACACATATCTCGCTGCTGCCATTCTGTTTCTTCAAGGCAAAGGCCAGTTTTACCATTTCCCTTCGAGACAAGACCGAGCAGGAACATTCTTCCATTTACAAATTTTCAACCACAAGATGACCACGACGCCAGCCTTGGAATTGCACAAGCGCATGATGGAATCCATCTTGCACTTTCTGGGTACGATACTTGACATGTTGTTGTTTATATTGAGCTTTAAAGTGTTCCCCTTAGCCTGGCATGTGAGTTTACACTATGTGATTCGTTTATTTCCAAATATTAACCCACACCCAGGTAAGAAGCTACTATTCATTCATGTTCCGATACAAACTGGACAGTCGTCCTGTTCCTCTCACTACGCCAAATGCAATCACCATTTTCCAGCCCACTATATGGACATCAAGCACGCCACTAGGGGAAATAGATATCATGGGCCACAAGACCAATTCTACCTATGCTACGGACTTCGATGTCGCCCGGAACTACCATATGTGCTCACTCTTTCGTGTCGGGCTCAAAAAGTGGACTGGCCCGTCCTTCATCAATCCCCAAATTCGCGAAGGTCATGGTACCGAGCTATTCTATCCAGCATTGGCTGGAGTGAGCTTCACATTTCATAGGGCTATTTGGCCTCGGCAGAAATATGAGATAAGCACTCGTATTCTTTCATGGGACGATAAATGGCTGCACCTGATATCGCACTTTGTGGAAAGGGGAGCATGCAAGCCTGCATAATTCAGTGATCAGAAGATACCACAACCTGATCCAGAGTTGAACCTCGAAGAGATTTGGTATTCACAGAGCTTTGATCCTGAAAACGGTTCAAAATCTAAGGTCTTCGCTACTGGGATGGCGAAGATTGTCTTTAAGAAAGGACGAAAGACAATTCCTCCGTCACAATTCTTAAGCGACTGTGGTCTTCTCCCTCGAGATGACAACGATGCTGCCCATATACCTGACAATATCTGCAAAGAGAGCGTTGGGCTTGGCGATGGAAGCATGACTAAGGTCAAAGAATGCATTAAGATGCGACGAGCAATGGGATATCAACTGGCCCAGCATCTCAATAATCTTGCTGAAGGGTCTTCAGTTTTCAACGTCGCGGAGAAGGTATTCTATTCCAAGGCTTGAGAAGGGCAAAGGTCTCCTAGGCTGCGGTAGTATCTCCACGGAAGTTTTAAGACGCTCACATGTCAAGTAAAGGGGGTAATATCTTATTAACTTAGGCGAGATAATCAAACGAATGGGGTTTCTAATATAGGATAGCAAGCTATCTCACGCCACTCTTTCATGTTTATAGTCATAAATATTTCTAAAAACAAAATTTGTTAAAAGCTTTTCTCGCAATGAAATATGAATTAGAGAGCAATCGAACCCCATCTTCTACCGTTCGAAGCCAATGCTGAACTTTTCACAACTAGTCTCCAAATAGATCTTAACGAGTATCTTCCTTCGCACTGTTTACTTGTATTATCGCTTGTTTGCAGGCTTCTCGGTGGCATGAACCCATAATACCTGTCTTTCATCGGCGTCACGCATATCCTGTAAAAGAAGTCATACACCATGCATTTTGCACCCTTTTGCCACAGGTTGATATTATGGTGCTTCACGGCCTCTGCATGTACATGTATCCACTCACGGTGCAATGTCGAGAGGACTAATGCTAAACTTGTGGTGACACCGCATGAAGGCGCTTCTCTCGTTTATCGGTTCCGCTAATGATGAAGTTTATATCAAGCTCTGGGGATATTCACTTTCGAAGTGTAGGAGATCTTGGCTTGTTGTGTGGTAACACGACAGGACCAAAAAGCCTTGAACGCACCGTGGTGTCACGAGTTTGTTCCTTGGATATAACCTCGATCGTTCATAGAATAAACCTTTCTCAATATATAAATATATATCCTTCAGTATGCCTGGCATGGTAAACCCACTCGCAGGAGTAAAACCACACCTCAAAATGGACCAGGAAAAGTGTGAGCTACGCAACAGCAACATCCAAGATAGGCCATCTTCGGAGGGTACCTCTGGTCATGAGATCGAGATCTTGTACCCCGAAGGGTGGCGATTGTACCTCACTTTCATCAGGTACACCTCACTCCACTTCTCTTCAGGCCTTCTGGCTGATTGATTATTTACATGATAGCCTCCTTACTGGCCTTTATTTGGTCAATCTTGAAGTGACCATAGTTAGTACTTCACTTGTCAGCATTACAGATGACCTGGATGGATTCAAGGAAACCAGCTGGGTTGTCACAGCCTTCTTAACATGTTATACTGGTATTCAACGCCCTCTCCTGTAATACATCCCTCTTCTGACTTTCCCAGCAGCATTCATGTCCACGTGGACAAAGTTGAGCAACATCGTCGGTCGCAAAAAAGCCATTATTGCCTCAAACGCTGTCTTCTTGGCCTTTTCACTCGGGTGCGGGTTGTCTCAAACAATGAACGAACTGTAAGTTACGGTGCCGTATTCTATTAAGACGGAAATCTAATTGATATGTTACCAGAATTATATGTCGGGCGCTACAAGGTGCTGGGGGTGCTGGGGTTTATTCATTAACTATCTTGTGCACCTATGAGATGGTTCCGAAGCCAAAGGTGCCGAAATATGGCGCCATGGTTGCCGTTGCTATTGCGCTTGCATCCTTGACAGGACCTGTCTTCGGCGGACTAGCGGCTGAGAACTCAGCCTGGAGGTGGGCTTTTTATATCAAGTACGTTCTCCGACGGCAACAACACTGGGATACCTTGACGAACTCTAATTTATGTACGGAACAGCCTCCCTCCAGGAGGATTGGCAGTCTTGGTGTTACTACTCGCAATGCCCTCAACGTTTGGAACCGTGCCACCGCTGTCAATATTCTCTTTGCGACCAAATCTGTCTTTATTCAAGCGCCTCGATGTATTGGGTGCCTTTATGCTTATCGGCGCATCTCTCCTTTTGGTCACCGTATTGAACGAGACATATTTGCAGTTTGAGTGGTCTTCAGGAACTGTCATTTCTCTGCTAGTGCTCTCTGGCGCTTTGTGGGTCGCATTCTTCGCATGGGAGTGGTATATGCCCGACTATATGCCTGGGTTGGAACCAATCTTCCCGAAACACTTTTTCTATAACAGAGCGTGGATGGGGATGTTACTGTGAGTGCAGTAAAAACTTTTCGATCAGATGATAATATCTCACATTGTCTTTCAGTACAAATTTCCTCTGCGGCTGCCCTTGGAATGTCATCATCGTGTACTTGGCACAGAGATTTCAGATCCTGACCAAACTCTCGCCTCTTCAGGCTGGCATTCACATAATACCTTACTCCGCCGTTGCAACAGTGGTTACTATGCTTACATGTCTTGCAAGTCGCAAATTCCGCGTACCTGTGGTTTACTTTGCACTTCTCGGGTCTATCCTCCATACCGTTGGGATGTCACTTCTGTCAATCCTTCCAGAGAACTCATCCTACCCTCCCGAGGGATATGCGTACGAAGCTATTGCCGGTGCCGGTGTTGGTATGACAATTGGAATTCTGACTTTGGCCATTCCATTTATTGTCGAGACAAAGGACTTTGGTACCCAACACTTCCCTGCAATTCTCTTTAGGATTCTGACTTGCTAACTTCTCAATTTCACAGCTACTGCAACGGGGGCTCTCAACCAGGCTCGGTTCCTGGGTGGAGCCATCGGATTAGCTATCGCCTCTAATATTCTAAACGGGAGACTCAAAAGTCAACTTTCTGACACATTGTCTCCACAACAGGTAAACCAAGTACTTGAAAGAGCCGGCGAGATAGCAAGCCTACCACAGGATGTACAGAAAGCAGCAGTGGATGTTTTCGCAGGAAGCTATACCATCCAGTTTCAAGCTATGATCGCCTTTGCCGCCTCGCAGATTCCGGCATCGTTGTTGATTTATAAACGCGGGCGACAGTATGTCGCCACATAGGTGAACTGGTATTGTTTCTCAGCTTGAGGAGGCTAAGTGACCATGGCATTCGAACTCCACACGATTTGGTTTTTATCTCGGAATCACGCTGTCTAGAAATATGTCTGCTCGGTTTCATAGCTCAGAATATATTTATCTACAAGTTATCTACAGGGCCCTTCGTGGAATTGATCTACTCAAATAAGTATTGTCGACTCGGGCAGACCCATATGCTAGCGCTATTTAGTGAATCGACGCTTCAACGCTGTATAGCCAAGTTTGGCGGCCCACAGGATGGCCAAGGGGTATCCCAGCACTTCTGTATATAAAAAGGTAACCCGAATAGCTTCGGAGCGATCCAAGATCTAGTTGAGCCAAAACACTAGTTCTCTTCGTAATTTCCGGCCATTTCTTGATCTTCATCTTTCTTTTCGTGTCGGCGCTGTATTCATACGGTCACTGAACCGAGATGAATCGACAAAATACATCGTGCGCGCTCCCAGAATAATAACAGGCTACCAATATTTAATCGCCTGGCTGACTGCGATCCAGAGAGCTACAAGTCCAACAATAGTTATTATCGATGCTTCGAGACATAACTGATGTGGAGAGGTTGCTCAATGGCGCCCATGTATCCCATGTCTGTCACCTTGGGTACAGTAATTCCAGCCATACCAAAACCCTATCGATTCGACCTCCCTCCTTATACTAGGGTATCTGTTTACCCACACTCCTGTACATCCGAAATTGGCTCATGTATACTAGCATGCTTGATTATTGCTTTTATTGCATGATGGTGTTGGCTCTTATGTAACAACAGGATCTGGGCCTTTGCCGATCACATGTTTCCCTTGTTCGCTTGTAGGTAGATTGGTAATATCCTTAGGCTCGATCGCCCCTCGATCTCCGTCAAAGTCCGAGTGACTATTTCTATCCATCATTAAATAGCTATTAGCTAGCCTGCGAAATGTGAAAGTTAAAAACGGTCCATTCAAATCAAAAATGGCTTCGTCTATTCTTCTCACGAATGCAACCCTCCTGGTTCCTTCTGGCGAGGCAAACGACTATGTGGTTGCTCTACGACACCACTCACTGCTCATTGAAGGTAATAAAATCGTCCGGATTTCGTCGGAAATTGCCCCCCCATCACCGCATACCGAGATACTGGACTGCACAGGCAAAATTATCTCTCCTGGATTCATTGACACCCACCATCACCTCTGGCAAACTCAGCTGAAAGGACGCCATGCAAATCACACTCTCATGGAGTATATGTCAACCGGTACGGAGTTAACTCTCAGGCGTCCTTCAACATTGGATAGTATACTCATCCTCGCAGGGCCTTTTCAAGCAGGGAACTACACTCCCGAGGATATATTTTGGGGCCAACTGGGAGGCTGTTTCGAAGCTTTGGATGCAGGGACTACAACAGTCGTGGACCATGCTCATTTGAACATATCTGCAGCTCATTGCAAGTGATTGATGCTACTGAGAAGTTATTGCATTTGCTCATTGTTAAATTTAGCTGCCAACGGTGTGGAAGCCACTGTTGCATCTGGTATCCGATCTATTTTCTGCTACACGCCCACTATCAAGCTGAAGGCATGGAAGCCCGAACTCGTTCCTGCAGACGACATGCTTGGGAACTGGGTACACAAACAGCTCGATGAGTTCGCTACCTCGGCCCCATGGGCAGACGGCCGGGTCCATCTGGGTCTCGCCTTTGATGGATACTCCCTTCCAAAAGAGGTTGTTATTGGACTGCATGAGAGGGCCCGCAAAGCCGGCGTTAAGCTTATTACTGCCCACTGTGTACACGGTTATTTTAGTAAGGCACAAAGCTGTCAGTGGGGAATATGCTAGCTAATTACTCCGCAGGTGATGATTCTCTTGTTGATATTATTGACAGTTATGGCCTTCTCGGTCCGGATTTCCTGCTCTCTCATGCTACGAATCTCACAGAGGGTGACGTGGAAAAGCTCAGAAAAGCAAATGCTTGGATCTCCTCGACTCCAGATACCGAGCTCCAGATGGGCATGGGAAACCCTGTGTGTTTCCGGGAGGGTTGCACCGATATTAGCTCGCTGGGAATCGATTGCCATAGTAACAACTCGAGTTCTATTCCCACACAAATGCGTGTGGCCCTTCAGTGTGAACGAGCTCGAAGGAACGATACCACCGTCGCGCAGGGAAAGTATCTGCGCTCACTAAATGTATCTGTCCAAGATGCTTTCAAACTGGGCACTATCCAGGGCGCTCGAGCCATTCACATGGACAATAAAGTCGGCTCCATAACGGCTGGAAAGCTGGCTGACCTTGTCATTTTTGATGCTCAAACCCCGGGAATGATTTGTGCCAGTGAGGAAGACCCCGTCGCGGCTATTGTTCTGCACTCTTCGATCCGGGATATTGACACGGTCATTGTTGATGGGCGGATCTGTAAACAGAATGGAAGGCTAGTTCCTGTGAATGTCAACACAACCCTTGAAGACGCCGTTATTGCGAAGCAGAGAGTCGATTGGGGGGAGGTTGCACAGCAGCTCCTCTCCAGTCGGAGAAGAATCCAGGCTGCCATTGAGAAAGCTGGCGCGAATGACTTTGAACACATGATGTCTGGAACGATGAAGATGCTCCAGATTGCTGAAAACAAATTCGTGTGATCGAGTTCGAATCTACATTCAAGACCATGTTGGCAGGCCAGGCGGCTGATATGCAACGGGATCACCTTTTATGGTGGCTTAAAGGAACAATCGACAAGCCTTACATTTGCATGTCATCGAAGAGTATCTTATGGCCAATGACATTGATTAATTATTGCAAGAAAATTTCATGAAGTACAAGAAGCCGTCGACTCTTCTCCGGATGTTCAGATTTTGGGAAGAATTCTGTTGACTTCTCGGATACTACTGTAGGAGACCACTTTGCGTTCTTGCTTCTGCTTGGGAATCTACAGGTAAGAGAATCTATTTGCACTTAGATCAAGACTCGGCTAACAATCTCGTAGAAAGCTTTTCTCTGACCTTCAGCAATGGATAACTCCAGAGCCGTCGGTTGACGACTGCCGTCGGGTCCCTGATAGTGGTGGACTCGTCAGAATCATAATCATTTGGAGGAGTCAGGAGCCTCAGATATCACGAAAAGAACTTACTGCAAAGTTTCCTGCACCCCATGGACTGCCACCATGGATTTCGGATAAATTGGTTAATAGCGGGAACACTGGTTTGTAGCCCAGTGGAACGTATAGGAAGCCATGGTGACTTAACGTGCTCATGGCAGCAATGGCAGTGGACTCCTGGCCACCGCCGGGAATTCCTGTACTCACGAAGAGACCAGCATACTTGCCCCAGTAACGACCAGTCTCCCATATTTCGCCTGTGCTGTCCCAGAACGCTTTCCACTGCACTGGGAAATTCCCATAGCGGGGTGCGATACCAAAGAGAACGCCATCATACTCAGTCAACTTTTCTGGGCCGATGATAGGGTGGGATAACTTGGGCGGAGCGTGTATCGAGTCTAGAATCTCCTGAGGAAGGGTTTCGGCAATGCTGGCCACAGCAGGGGCCTTGCAGCGGGAAGCATTATTAGGGTTGGCGGAACTTACTGATAAATATCGGCGTGTCCTCCAGCCGACTCAATCCCTATTTTTTCAGCCTCCGCCAGCCGCTGCACGTGTCCGTACATCGAATACTGTGTGCGCCAATTGCATTAGCATTTGTTTCTTTTATTTTTTCCCTTGCCTCGCAAGGACGCCCAGAATACGGAGTACCCACAAATACAATCGCGATTTTCGGAGCCATTTTCTCACAGAGTGCCGAGGTACCGATCGAGAGTTCGAGACCGGCCGGAAGGGAGGATAATAAGAGCTTGGTCTTTCAGATAAGTTCATCTACCGAAACAGGAACTACATAGGGCATGCCGCCTCTCCGAAATAATGGTAAAAAAATTAGTCAGGGTTCATTCAGACTCCGTGAGTCTTAAGTCTGGACCCATCGTAGGGATGGCTCGGCCATCGAGGTTTCAATGTTTTCTTTGTTGCATGTGGCCTGGCCGTGACAGTGAAGCCAATCACAGGCCGACTTCGATTATCGAACTGCATTAGCGGCGCCAAGAGAATAAAACCAAAAAACTTCCGGCTATACGACCAGTCCTCGATAGGTTAGTTGTTCACTCGGACTGCCTCAACTCCGCGCGCTTGAGTAGGTCACGACAGGGGTCATATGGATCTGGTCCTCATTCGATTCTAGATCCCTGGGAATTAGAAATACATTCTCCCTGGGATTCAGTAATGGTGGTACTCTAGAGACGCTCTGTGTTCTATCTATATAACAACGTTTGTTCAGTGTAGCTTATTTTCATTTTTCCTGAGTATTGACTTGGTTTAGCCTCTTTGAGGCACCAACTATTCCGAGACAATGGAGGCTGTCCCCAACCTGCATTCTAAGGGTGACCTGGAAAGGCACCTACGGAAGTGCCCGAGACCAATAATGCTATTCACTAATGTTGTCCAATTTGAGCCACAAGGATGAGAAGGTCAAGGAGGATACTAGGCCAGCGATGGGACGCCCGATGAGCGGGTGGCGTGTAAGCTCCCCCCCCCTCCCCCCTCCATTACCCCCGGTAATGGTAGTTTCGTCACGCTCTGACTGATGATAAATTAATTAGCGGGTTGTAATAGCCATCGCGGTCAATACCTGAAGTTTCCTTTATGGATTGGATAATACCGTTGTCGCTGATATCTAGGGTTCTGTCGTCGAGAGATTTGGGAGATCGAGAAGCTCAGTTGGCTGGGCAGTGGCTTCCTCTCGGCTCCATTGCCCTTCTCCTAGCGGTGTACGTCTGTCACGATAAAAGGTGACGACCAAGCAGTGAAGCTAACCGTCATATAGCGGGAAAGCCTATGGATTGTGGGACATCAAATGGCTCTGGGTGCTAAGCATCATTATCTTCCAAATCGGTAGCGCCATTTGTGGAGCAGCCCCAAATATGAATGCCCTCATCATCGGCCGTGTGATTGCTGGCACCGGCGGTGCTGGAATGTATCTGGGGTGAGTCATGAGAGCCTATGCAGGTGGGATGAGATTAAAAGGGTTAACAATTGTTCAAATGAAAAGTGGCCTTAACCTTACCGCGGTATTGACGACGCTTGAAGAACGGCCAATATACATGGCAATAAATGGAATGGTCTGGGGCGCGGGTGGGTATCATCGGTATGAATCGTGATTAGGAGAGACGATGCTCAAGGTTACTATCTAGGGACCATCCTTGGACCTATCGTTGGCGGCGCATTTGTTCAGAGCTCTGCCACCTGGCGCTGGGTATGCCCCCCTATATTAAATACTTACCCATCAGATGCGATTCCTGACCCCGAGTCCTGGGCATTTTATATCAACCTCGTCATCGGAGCTGTCTTCGCCCCCGTTTACCTCTTCATCGTCCCTGGGTTCCAGCCAGATCCGTCTCGAACATATTTCCAGAAACTGGCTGCCATGGATTGGCTGGGAACAGTGCTTTCGCAGCCATCTACGCAACGTGGATCATCGCGCTCACCTTCGGTGGTGCCACCTGGGATTGGGGTGACGGACGAACTATTGCAGTCTTCGTCGTCTTCGGGGTAACTCTTATTGCCTTTTGCTTGACACAGTACTTCTGTGTCCTAACCAACAAAGATATGCGAATCTTCCCCGGGGAGCTGCTGGAGAAGCGAACCACAGTTTTATTGCATATTTTGACCGGGTCCTGTGGAGCCGCCATGTTCGTTCCTCTGTATCACATCCCTCTCTTCTTCCAATTCAGAGGGGACGATGCGGTTAAGGCTGCTGTTCGATTACTGCCCTTTGTTTTCCTCCTCGTCTTTTTCATGCTCCTCAACCGGGCGTTGATGCCCAAACTCGGGTATTACACGCCCTGGTACCTATTCAGTGGAATCACCATCGTCATTGGTGGAGCTTTGATGTCGACAGTGGAATCGACGACCTCGACGTCCGCGATTTACGGGTACAGCGTTCTAATTGCGATCGGAGCCGAAGCTACGTCACAAGCTGGATATTCCATTGCTCCAGCTAAGGTTGAGGGTTGTCTTATCCCCAGCGCCATTGCCTTTGTGAACATTGCACAGATTGGTGCCATCGTTGTTGCCTTGACCCTTTCTGGGACGCTTTTGCAGAATCTTACCTATAATCGATTGGTTGGACCTCTGGGTGCTGCCGGTCTCGATTCCAAGGAGATTCGCTCGACCCTCTCGGGCTCACTGAGTCCCGTTTACGCGCACTTGTCTGAGGATCTGAGGGAAGTAGTCAATCTAGCAATTGTTTACTCTATTGGCCAGTTGTACTATTTGGTTGTGGCGGCGGGAGCTCTGATGATCGTTTGCTGCGCTTTGCTGAAGCGTGAGAAGATCTACATGACTCTGGAAGCCGGGGGATAAGTATCATTTCCAAGTCTACTCGCTGTTTATCCTAGATAGAGACCTATCTCTGGCTGTGACAAGGATAGCTTTGGAAAAAGATCACACAAAATCGCATTATGACTAGCCAGAATGTATATTACAGTACACTAATCATTATAGAATCAGATTCAACTACTTCCAATGCCATCAATGCTGCTCCAAAGTTATCTTTATTTTCCATTAAAGGGGAAAGCTCTAGATATATTCTATAATGTTAATATAGATTAATATAAAGACTATAGTAACTTGAATAGTAGGCTAGTCAAGTTACTAAAAGATCAGGCACGAAAAACAGCACTACAAGGTAATAAGTATCTTCCATCATGGCGATCAAAGTTCTAGTGCATGATACGAAAAGTATAAATGATTTGCATACGTATATGATTATGGCGAGTGTTTCCATATTTGATACTAATCAAGGAGTACATGGCCGTGAATCCTTCTTGTATTATTTAAGCTACTCGCTTCTGTCGATTCAAAGATTGTTGATGAGATTAAAGAGGTATGCCAAAGGCTGCAATCTTTATTTCTATAAATACTCATTCCGTGCTACCGACCAAGTTGTAAATGTGAAGCATATTACAGACTAGTGGACTTTTTCGGGAGCAGGGCATATGAAGTGCGAAATACGTCCTTTGGATCGTACTTCTCTTTGAGTGCCGTTAATCGAGGAAGATTTGTTCCGATTATCTGTTTGGGGGGGAGTAGAAGACCTGGTTGACAAGCTCAGCAAGTCTCGTCACCCAGAATAGGGCCACGACTTACCGTCATAATTGGAGTATACCCTGACTGCATCCAGGTTGATATCGACACCCTCCTTGTGCTTCGTGCGTTCCAGCTCGGCGTCGAACTTAGCTGCGGTCTTATTCACCCATTTCCGGGCAACAAGGTCATGTTCCGGGATGCTCCATCGAGCCACTACAAAGCAGACATGGTGAAGCTGACGACCGGCAAAGGCCATGGAGCCCACTGGAAGCTGGCCCATGTTTTCCTTCTCTGTCATTTCTAACATGATCATGCTTGGTGCCGCATCCGGAGAGACTTGAGAGCGCAATTCCGCAAGGCTATCGGCCAGGGATTTGAGGAAGTCTACCCGCAGCGGAGTGGCAAATGCAACCCCATGGTATTGACGGCGAATGCCCCAAGGAACCTTGGGCGTGAGAATTGTGTTAGCGTCAGGGTATGGTCTTTCCTTCGTGGTATTGGCAACATGCTCCAGGGCAAGCAATGGTGCAAAAAGCACCTCGGCCTCTTCCCTCCCGCCAGGATAGAAAAGTGTGACAATCAGCATATTTGCTGGAGGGCTGGCAATGGCGACGTGCATGGCTGCTTTTGCCGTGTTCTACGATGGGAACCGGTTCACGAAATCCACGACAGCGGGTAAAGCATCGAGCTTCATGATCAGTTGACCAGGCCAGATAGGGTATGCCAGATCATACGCTTGGTAAGTGAACTCAAGCGCCACGCCAAAGCACTGACCAGCACCTCGCACGGCCCAGAACAGATCCGGGTTTTCTGTTGCTGATGCAGTAACAATGCGCCCATCCGCCAGGACCATCTTAGCGGACAGCAGATTGTCCACGACCAAGCCATACTTTCCGGATAGCCAGCCTACTCCACCTCCCAGTGTGAGGCCCCTAATACTCGTGTTGCCTACTCGGCCACCAACTGTGGCCAGTCCGTGCTGGCCCAGGGGAATATCGATATCCTCCCAACGGCAGCCTCCTTCTGCGGTGATCGTCTTCTTTTCGACGTCGATCATGGTCTTATTCATGGCTGTTAAGTCGATCAAGAGCCCTGGAGTCGCGGCAGACCCGTTCGTTCCGTGTCCGCCACCGACCACAGCCACCTCTAGCCCCATCGCTTGGGCGAAAAGGACGGCGGTGGAAACATCTCGGGCGGTCACGGCCTTGAGTACGATTGCCTTGTATTTCCTATCAGCATCACTCTCTAATGCGATACGTCATTCACTGGGACTTGCCGATCGCTTCTCCGTGTTAGGAGCCCATCTGTGCATGGATTGGTCATACTCTGCCGTGCCAGGCGGGAGAACGCTCGAGTCTTTGGCAGCGGCCTGTAGTGCCGATGCCAATGTACGGACGGTCGCGGTGTCGTTCATTGTTAATGGAATATCGCCTAATCAAGTTCGTTCGGAAGTATTGTCTAATGGTATTTATTAATGTTGTCAATCCATCCCGATATCAGGGACAACGCTATTTATTCTACAGGATAAATGTCACGACTGGAAAACAACGAAGCGGAAAATGACCAGATCCACCAGAACGTAAAGGTGGCGTGGTATGTTTCCCTTTAGTTTGCGCCGTAATTAGATATATTCGGTCATCGGTCATTTTTCGATCACCGGGATATCTAGAAGTTTGTGCTTACTGGGGCCATCAACCTAATAGCAGTGCATCCTATCTAATCCTTCCGCTGAAGATTTGTATTGGGCGGTAATTACGTGCTTAGTAATAACAACAAATGATAAACAATTGTGGATCCCTGGATTTTGGCCTCGACAATAAATACTCAACCTCTTCCTTTTCATTCCCCTTCGCCCTACAGATATTCACAATATTTATGAATTTATCAATCGCGCCGAAGATGGATCCCTTCGCAAAATTCCTAACCGAAATTATTTGTCAAATTCTCGAATCTTGCTACGACTTCACCAGCTTGGACGGTCTTCAACAAATATCTCCCCGAGTGAAGGAAGCTTTCAACGGCTCGTTCAAAAGCATCACCGAACACGTCCTGAGAAATTGCTCCCTCACCTCGCACGGGCTTTATTACTATTTCACGCTCCTAGCCTCCATTCTATCGATATCATTCACTCCACAAGCACTACTAGAAGAGCTCGCTGGCTTACCATGGGATGTTATGCGACCTATTTCCCTTTCCACCACCCACTCACTAGCTGCGGTGTATAGACTATAAATATAGCAGCGAAAATACATCTCACTGCCTGTGCTTGTCTTCAGCGTTTCATCAATCGTCTCGAGTCCGTAGAGCCCCGCCGTCCTATGGCTTCCCATGCCAATGTTGTGGATTGGGTGAATAGAAGACTTCCACCACCTAAAGGTGGCGAGCTCATCCAATTCGATGTTGATCTACCATCATGGATCGAGTCTTATCGGACGCATCGAGGCCTCTGGAAACTTGAGCTCTTCCACCAGATCCATAATGCTGCAACAAACCACTGGCTATGGTCTACGCATGATCTGGACTGCTTTATTGAACAATATCTGGAATGGTGTCAGTATCGGGGGGGAATAGAAGAGCTCCAGACGATTTCGGAGTGCGTGGTCGATCTATGTCCCTCCAAACCAATAATTCTCAGCCATCGGGCTTCATATTTAGTTGCCGTTCCGTCACCAACCGATTTGACGGTACAGACGTGCTGCCCTCTGTCAAATATACAAGATACACAACTTGATTCGACATGGCGTCGGAGTCCGAGATTTGCGAAGGGCAGAAACGACGTGCTTGGTTCTTTCAATGCCCTTCGTGGCGGTGAAAAAGGCCGCAGTTATCACGCTCTCTGGAAAGTGGATTTCAAAGCATTTCGACGACTTGGTATACCTCTTTGGGACATGCGGCGATTGTACCAAATGAGACTCATGCATCAATCTCGCAGTGTGCTTTCACCACGGGGCAACTTGGTTGGCGGAGAGTCAGAACAAACTGAATGGCCCCCTTGTATTGAAGCCTACGTATGGTTTAGTCTAGCAGAGGAGGGTGATGTGATTGTACAGCTTAGAAAATAAGTCCTGAAGTCCTGAGGTCTGAGTGATATATTTAATCAACGTGATGGATCAACCGGCAGCATATGGACATAGTATGAATCGAGCCTGTGACGAGATGCATAAATAATTCTAGTATTGAGACTCATCAAAATTATCCACGGTTTGATCAATGTGGAGACAGCCTGGAGACACACCCACGTCAACGCCCAGAACCTAGACGCCCCCACGAATAGATCGATAGTCGGATCATGTGTATCGTAGGGAAGACCACTGCTTTTGGCCGTCGGCATTTCGGGGATTGATATTAGGGGAAATCATGGTCTGTCGTAGGGTGCGAAGCATCGGGCGATTCCTCCTCGCACCCGAACTAGTTACCCGAAGAGAAGATTAGGTAATGTCATCTGACTATGAACAAGCAATATCGTATAGACATGATTGGTTAGCTGTCACTCCTTTTTCCACTTTGGAGTTGTATCATGCCTATTTGCGGAAGGTTGGCAGTATGATTCAGCAATACTAACACAAACCCATGTAGGAACAAACTCTACAGTGTCTCAGCCATGGACAATGTACAGAACTCATCCGGCCATGCAGCCGCATCAACTCCCAAAGGCGGCGGTTGGTTCCCAAGTTTCTCCGTTAGATTCGACGTTTTTCTTTGCAGGCTTGTGAAAGAGGACAGACATGACTTAATTGTCTGAAGCATAGCTTCCAGTGACATGGTTTGGGGCTGTTCTGTTTCTCCTAGTATACGTACTAACGGCTACAATTTCGGTTGGAGTTATGTCCCCTGAGAGTAAAAGAGTGTGCCTCGAAATTCATGAGCTGGCCCAAGAACTGCGCCGCTTCTGGGATGCCAGGCTAAGCTACTGGGCCAGCTATCTTCCTCTGCTGGGCTGCATGGCGACTGCTTCTCACTATCTTGAAATGCGGGATATCACCACGCTGAATACCTACTTAGGCCAGCAAGGAGAAATAGTTATAAGAAAATCAATTCAGCAATGCAAAAGTGTTGTTAGAAATTATGATGCACAAGAGACCGGCCCTGCTATGCTACCCCAACTACCGGCATTGATAGAGTAGGTAATTGCACGCCTCAGTCTATATCAATGTCCGATCCTAATTCTTCTTTGTGTAGTAATCGCGATTAGTGGCAAGACGGTGAACATCCTCTACGTGCCTACGAAGATGCATTTCGTGTAGGATATCCTCGCTATATATATGACATTTCCGATCCTTCAAGTGCTTTTCTCGAAAGTGTCGTAAGGTCGATTTATATTCACTATATTTCTACGTTCGACGATAAACAGGAAGTAGGCCATCGCCATAATATTAAAAACATCGCCGAGGTTTTTTAGCCTTCCGGATATACTTCCCCGCCTTCTCTAGAAGTAACTCTTCCTACGACTTTTTTAGAGAGACGGAGCTTGTCTTATTGTTCGCACTTCTATTATTATCTGCTCTTTATTAGGCTTATCGCTTAGAGCCGGCCGTTTACGTCGTCCACGTAGCGGCCCACCTTTAAGGTGGTAATAGTATTACGAGACTATAACGATAGCCGTATTTCGTCTCCGCCACTCCGCCTCTAATAAATAGGAAGTTGGCTAGGTTAATAACTTCTTAAGAAGATTAACCCGCTCTAGTAATACACCCAGTTCCCCCCGCGAGCGCCCTACCTCTTTGGAAAGGCCATTTGTGCGGAGGAGTAGGTGTCATAGGAGTAGAAAAAGGTCGGTGGAACGATGACGCAAAGCCATCTTGATGGAGGGGAAGTCGAAGTGAAATGGAGGTGAAATGAAAGTGAGGGAAGCTTTGTTTGAAAGTTGCCTTAAAAAGGCTGCGAATGTATGATAAATACCTTGGATCTCGTTATATATAAGCAATATAAGGAAGTCTCAGTTTGAAGACTAAAACAACCTCATCTGATTGTTCGATGCTGACGTCCAACTGATTTCGGACATATGGACAATGGCTTCTCATATTATAATATCAGCTTAAGCTTCACAGAATATTGTATCCATGGATTAATTAGATCTCATCTACGATCGATATGTAAGTTATAGAACAAGAAGTAAAGGGCAAGTTCATCCATCATTTCCCATGTTTTGGGTCCATATCCACCAACTCCACATCACTATTCGTTACCGACCGGGACTCATAATTCACCGAGTAGGTAACAGACTTATTGATGTTGACGCTCCCCGCTGACCTTTTGTTATAGTAATCAGCCGTGTTAGACGTAGTGTTTCGGTATGACGACCCTCCCACCAGACGGGGGCACCATCGACCGATAAGAGCTCTGAATGCAGGCAGGCAAGCGCACATAACAGAAATCTGACACTCGATAACGGACCAGTGCATGAGGGGGTATAGGCCGAGAGTCTCATTGGCGCCCCAGCGGTTGTTCCAGAAGACCACGACTCGAATTATCGCAATGATCGTTAGACTGTGAGATTGGTTAGTGACACGTAGACGAGAAAAAAAGGCCAGGCTAACAAGTGCGTACACAGATCCGACGATAAACATCGATGTCACAGCTATCTTCTTTCGCAGAGGCAACTGCAACTTGGTCACCTCATACACCGGCATGACGATCAATATAAAGTCGACAAAGATGTTCACCAGACAGTTAACAAGAACCGCGACGATAAAATTGATGCAGTACCCGGATTCCTCGTTCGTCCAGCCGGTCCACGTTAGGTGTGTCGGCGAGCAGCGGAAGGCATCCACCGAGGCCCAAGTGATACCGATCGCGGCGTTGGTACCGATGAGCGCATATGCTAAATAGCGGAACGTGCGTGATTGGAAGATGCGAAGTAGGAAAAGGCACACGGAGATCTTTGCGAGGGAAATTTGAACCTTATACATAACGGCCATAGCTTGGAAATACTGCTCTTGTTAGACTAGAATTGAGCCTTGGAGAGAGGACCGAACCTGGTAGAACCTGGTGATGGTGGGAAACGGGAGGTCCCAGATATTTCGACCGAAGCCACTGCGGATCACTGATTTGTTAGGTCTCCTTTCTTGTGAAATTGAACACTGGGACTGCCGGCTTACTGTAGATATCCAGAACATATATGGCGACTCCCAGAACCTGTGAGGCTGTTAATACCGCGCGGGAAGACATCAAAAGTGATACTGACATATGAGACAATTATTGTGAAATCATCCCATCCCCATCCACCAGCGAGGCCGCTGCTCTTGGCGATCAATCTCGAGATAAAGAAGACCGACGCAAGAATAAAAGGGATTAGAGTCGAGACTTTGACCACCGGAGGGCCTTTGAGCGGTGTTATATCGCATTCTTGTTCATACAGACGTTTTGTAGCTAGAAGGGTTAGAGTATGCTTGGAAGACCAGTCGCAATCAAGACGCACTAAAGAATTCTTTTGTCGTGCAGTTACTTTCAACACAATATAAAAGGGCTGTGGGACGAGAGCGACTGGCGCAGAAGCATGATAAATTGTTGGTCAATGAGCAATCGAAGAATAGCTTGGTGTTGCAAGTGATCTAGCACATGTTCATTAGCAGGAAATACGACATTGAACTGCGTTGGGAGATGCACGTACTGCGCAAGACGGGAAAACAGTTGTATCCGACTCTGCTGCATGGATCCTCACTATAAGCGGAGCGAAAAGGGCAAAAAGGAAAAAATGACGCCCCATTCTGGTGATAGACGTGTTCAAAAACCACGTTGAAGGCAGTTAAGGGGGGAAATTTTTTCCACTGCGGCAGTAACAGGTTTTGTTCTAATTTGTATATGAATGGTGCGGAGTGAGCGGCGTGGACACTCCTTGTGGGCAATCCTTGCTCGTTAAACTTATTTGTTTCGCACGAGGGCGTCTGGGTAACTATAGATCTTGATTGCAAACATAGGCAGAGAACCATGATTGGACTAGTGAATAAGGAGGTGCTCCGCTGTCAAAGTTGGTTCAAGTGAAACGAGCCCTCCAGAGCTGATATTTCTCCGGTGAGAGCCGGAACGGGTACCTTTTCCAGGATATTCCTACTCCGTGCACGCGACGATATCCACCGAATTGCTAACAGATCGATTTGTACCCACTTGGAACCATGGGTTATGGGTTCGGCTTCATCGGCATGGTTGGGAACTGAAAATATCAACTACCCAAAAGATATTTTGCTGCCTACTGAGAACAATTGTATCTCCCTAAATACTCTCTAGCTGTACCAAGGAACAAAGCTCGTTGAGGGCAATTTTTTTCATCGCCAAGAAACCCGACGGACTCCAGACCTCTATAGACTGGCGGCTGTATGCGCCCTGATTCGGACAAATACGATGGAGATCAACCATTTTTAAGCTTTGATAAAGTCTTCGCTTGAATTACGTTGAATGTTAATTTCTGGCAAAAAACAACAATGGCAATATTAGTACTTTGCACATCGATGCACCAACGTCCAGCAATGCTCGTGACTCAATTATGGCAATGATATACAATGTATTTGGGTTCGAGTGATATTGGATTAGTGACAGACGCATAGCCAGGGGTGGGCATTGCTTTAATGAATGCGCTAAATCAAGATCGAGAAATGCTCCATTAGTCCAGATCGCGGATCAATGGAGCAATGTTTCATACCTCATTTTCCACCCAACAAGCATTAGCTGCTTAGTATCATTACGATTATAGAAGAAACCTAGCGTAGGGTCGGCGACTGACTATGATGTGATCGATTTCCCAAAAGTGCAAGTTTTCAATCAATTCCGATGTCGGCCTAGTGATAGTCACCTTCGATATGAAGAGAAAGCAAAGAGGCTGCAATCCTTTGCATGCGGTATGCACGTAGGTACTTCCTATGTTTATTGTATGGCTTGGAGGGGAGGAGCTGAAGTTCTAACAAACATGCTATATTTGAGACACGCTTATTGAAGTTGGACTTCGAAGGCAAGACTGCAGATCCTGTTTTTAATGTACTTTGACAACACAATCGTAAATTGATTAAAATGAAGGAGAGTGTGGATATTCAGGTCCTCCATATGGCCGAAATCCGACCCTATAGGCCAAGGTCCTTGGGGCGCTTTACCTAAACAAGAGGATCTCCGATGCCAAGCCTTCTCTACTCGATTCTGTGTTTTGAGCCTCGGCACTAGGCGATCAGGGAGACATCCGACTGTTGAGTCCCAAAGCTCCAATGCGCAATTTTAAGTAAGACCATGGCCTCTTCTCAAGTGATACAATGTTGTAGATTGTTCACATTGAAAGATCAATTATTTAGCACTTAGTTCGTTAGTCAAGTATATATAACTACGTGACTATATCATTTCCAAAAAGCGTCTGTTGAAAACCCAGTCAATTCTCATTGATATGCCATTCCCAGGCTTCAACGCTAACCCTAACCCGGGGTCCTTCGTTAAGTCCTTCGATATATGCAGATTGATCATATTCATACTATCCGTGGTATGCAACTGATTATCACACTATATAGACGCTCCGACTTGCCTCCCTTTTACCCCTTTCCATTCCTCCTTGCTATTTCTTATTAATTCCTTTCCAATCTGTTATAATGGAGGAATACGAACAAGAAGCGCATAAACAAGGGCTTCTTTCCGTGTATAAAGAGTTCAGACAGTTCCAATTCATTACTTTCTACAGATACAAAATCTATTAGTACTTTTCATAGTATTATCTTTGCAAGATTCTTCTATCCCCATGCATGCTCTATAGTCCTCAGTGTCTATATTCCACAACTTCGTGTTGCTAGAATATACGTGGTCCCAACGGTCGCGAGTTCAAAAGTAGTAGTGTGAAGACAAAATATAAGACTATAGAAGAATACACCACTACAGCATGCGTAGGCCGACTCCTGTTTTGTTGAGAAGGTATGTAAATCCTAAGCCCTATCATTAGCTACCATGTCGATGTAACCGACAAGAGAGGAGACACAGGCCCCTTTATAGGTCCCAATTTAACACGCTCGATCGGCAAGGAAGCACACGGACATAGAATTAAATCCTCAGGTTCGTACGTTAAAAGGAGACTCTTTGATAAGCACTTCAGTCGTGAATTTACTATCATCAACCGTCATTAATCAGGACCAGTATAGCTAATGGTAGCGGATTCTCCAATATCACCCGTTTTTAACTGCACGTGCTATCAAGTATGTGCAGTAGGGATCAATGGGAACATCGGCTAGCGAGTCGACAACTTGAAATAAAACCGACCTTTGTCCAATTTTGAACAATCAGGTTGTCGTTGGATTTACAGCATACCCGCCACCTTTAAAAGATCATGAAGGACACTGGTATATTGCAGGAAGCGCTTCATTTCAGTACATAGTTAGTACGCGATGACTCCACCTTGCCTATCTAATAAGTCCATCTCCTAACCGAACTTCGATCATGGGGTATTTTGTAATGAACAACGCCATTATGGGGTTCTTCGAACGGACTATCGCATTTCGCCGATCATTGGAATCCCCGTCGAGAGCAGGGTGACCATTTTAAATGCCAAGCATGGGACTACCGAGGTACTTGCGGTCGAAAGTTCTTCTATGTGGGAGACATTGCGGTATTAAAATTTGATTAGCATGAACGTCAAAAAGGAACATTAAATGCAGGGGTGGACGCGGAAGCGCGGCTCTTGACCTGACATAGGCACTCAGAACTTCTGTGGCTAAATACTAAATGAATGTGGAACTGGCATTGAACGCTCACAAAGGAACCACGATCCAGGTCACACTTCTCACCACGATCGGAAAGGAAGAGATTGAAAAGAACTCCTTGGCAACAGCATTGACCTGATATGCCCTCGAATCATATGGGCTTTTATTCCAACACAACCAACGGTCATCCGAGTCTTGGCGTTGATCATATCGTGGCAGTCTCCTAGCCTCACAATGTAACGTGGGCATACAGACAAGACCTAGACTAGTTCGAGCACTGGCTACCAATACGATGTCAACGTGCTTAGAGGGATACAATAATTGCAGGGTAAAATAGATAAATAGCACATGTGCTCACCTTTTCAACTGAGGTCATCGAACCAAGTACTCCGTAGATCATATTAAGTCTTCATCCCATCGAACTCAAAGCATGCTCGTTCAGGTTTCATATCCTTTGATAGGTTGGAGTCAAAATTTAAAATAAATCCGTCCTCAAGTCTTTGAGGCGAAACGTCTTTTGATGGAACAAAGAGGCCCGAGGGGCCTGAGGGGTGCATGAGCGTCCAAGGCTGACATTCCTGACCGCAGCAAATTTTGTGACGCTATCTGAGTCCACGTGGGCTTGGAAGTTCTCAATAGCGTCAATGTTCCATTATATCTGAAATGAAAAGAGCAGTGAATGTTTCTACGTAGTCGTGCTAGGAATGAGTTATGAGAGGAGGTTTTGGAAGGTAGAGGCTGCACTTTTAGTATTTTGAAAATCCCTTCGCATGATGCGCTAAACAGATAACTAATTACATGTAGGAAACTTGGAAGTTGATGTGCATATCAACACACTAGCCACTTTGGGGCACAGTCTTCCTATCAAAAGGACCCATCAAAGACCGATGGTAGAGTGTGTTCAGCCCAAAGTATTCCCAATTCTACACATCCCTGTCAGAGACCTCGCTTTGATTTTGAATTTCTTTGTCTTCTAGCGTAGTCCTCTTTTCTCATCCTCCGTCCTCATTTTCTTCTGTAGAAAAGCCCAAATCACTAGGTTACGGCGTGCATATTTTGTTGCCAGATAGTCAAAACTCCCCTGTACAATGTTGGTGAGCCAGCTGGCCTGGCCACTCGCATGGCTAGCTTTGGCTACCATGACAGTGGCTGCAGGATCATCGACGGCAACTTCAACAACCTCCTCCTCGACCGGTATCTCGACTCACACAATTCAGGTGGGACCCAAGTCAAATCCACATCAATTTGTTCCAACCGATATAACAGCCGAAGTGGGCGACATTGTCGTCTTTGAATTTTACCCGACAAACCATTCTGTCGTAAACGCAGATTACCTTGCTCCTTGTGTACCAGCAAGTGAAAACGTCTACTATTCGGGAGCCTTCGAGAGTTTCAACGAACACAATGGACAACTCGTTGGACCAGTGAGTATAATAAACTCGAATTACCAAAATGTTCTTCAAAGCGGCGTGGCTAATATATGCAACGCAGCCCCCGACTTGGTCCTTGCGAGTGAATGATACCGATGTATGTATCTACTCAAAACACAGACCCGTGACCTTGAACTGAAGCTAACAACGGTTTGATGTAGCCCTCATTCTTCTATTGCACTGCACTAGACTCATGCATTAAGAATGGAATGGTCGGAGTGATCAATCCGGTAGGACTCTCGGTTTCTCTCAAGCATGGATTCAGACTGACTGTCGAGCTGCAGAACAAAACCCAGACATGGGAAACACAATACGCAAGAGCTCTGAAATACCCTTATATGCTAGTTCCAGGCCAGTCCATGCCTGCCGAAGGCGGAGGTACCGGTTCCAGCGGTGACGACCAAAGCGGCGATAATAACTCTTCTGGTGGTAAGCATGGTGGGCTAAGCACGGGGGCTATTGCAGGTATCGCCGTTGCAGCTGTGGTCTTTGTGGCCATATTGGTGGCATTGTTCTTCGTTCTCGGCCGCAACCGCGTGTACTCGCAGTGGATGTCCTCGGAAGATGGGCGCACGGAACGAACCGCACGCTGGGCACTGTTCAACCATGGCGAGTCACACGGCAACGGGAAAAGTGAAGCGGGGAGTACTGTCCCAACCCACAACTCAGCCCATATCGATACCACTGCCGTCTCTAGTCCAGATCCAAATACGCGTACGCTTTCATCTGGGGCGGAAGTTTCCTCTAGCACCGTTCCCACATCAATGCAGCAGGGTCACTGGAGCTGGAATGAGCCTCCTCAACGTCCTCGTGCAAGCGCGATGGCCACAGAGCTGGAGGGCCATCCCATCATCTGGGAGGCACCAGGCAGCACTCCGGGGTATCGGTTCTGAACAAATTTTAAAGCTTTGGAGATTCGCATGGAATGGGGAGTGTCGAGTCGAGGCGAGCCTCGCTGGGGCCTTGTTATATCCGGGGAAGTTTTGAGGGCTGTGGTGTTCGCGTTCGATTATTTTCTTTTCGAGCACAAATGGATCTGTTCTTACCCGTATATGTATATTGATACCTGTGATTCCTTGCTTATCATATATAGTTTACTCTGATTTGGTAATGCCGGCTGGAAATTCTGCTTTTTTTCATCTTATCCCCATACATCATTCGTATAATACTTAGGCTACGAATATGTTAAGATCAATTATGCGAGGAGGTTAAGACAAATTAGTATAGAATGTCTATATATAGATTGGTAACATGATAACATACATAGCTATGTACGTAGATGAATATGGGCGCATTAGACCTACTTCGATTGACCTTAGTTTTTAATATGGCCTAGTGAATAAATGCCCCATTTTCGCTCAACAGTTAAGGCAAGCTAGGGGAACCCTTTCTACACTAGTAAATTGTGACCAGGGTCAGAAAAGCTAAGGTCTGCGGAGGATAGCGTATAAGTGAAGAGCATGTGGGTATAGTGGCTCTAGCACTCGCACCGGTGACACTTGCGCAAAGTGGATGCATCATCAT